ACTACACACACACACACACACACACACACACACACACACACACACACGTATTTTATCTAAATTAAAAATTTATGTTACTCAAAATATTCTGTTCAGGAAGGATGCTTAGCTTAGTGGTTAAGACACCAGTTTAGTAACTCAGGTATCACTTTAGGGTGCCCGGGGTTCAATTCCAGCCTCCAGCTCCCCATCACAAGTTCCTGCTAGGCAGCACTAATAATAGCTCAGGGAGTTAGAATCCACATGGGAAACATGGGTTGCTTTCCTGGCCCCCAGCTTCAGCCAGCCCAGTCAGCCCGACCATGTGGAAATCTAACCTACTGGCCGCTTTTAGCAGTGGGACCTTGGAAAGTGATCTGATTGGATTAGGTTAGGGGTGGAACCGAATTTTAAATGATGGCAGCTTTATAAGGAGAGACGTACCCTCACTACCTCTTACAAAATTTTGAGAAGCTGCTGGCAAAAACATTATCACAACAAGCCAAACAACTACAGCCACACAGTCTAGAACTAGGAATCCCAAAAAGGAGCCATAAACCCCCTTCTTCCAAATGCAGTTTGCAATAGGTATTTCGCAATAATATTGATACAGAAAGTCATGCAGTTTTTTTGTATACAAATTTTCCATAAACATTTAAAAGATCCCTTAATGTGCGTTGATTTGAAAAAATTACATCAAAATAAATCTTTGATTTCAACTTTCTACAAACTTAAGAAGTATCCTGATGCATGCAAATAATTTAAAAAAAAAAAGTAAAAAAATGAAATCTACAACACTTCTAGACCCAAGCATTTCAGATAATTCTGGTCTTGAAAATACATGCCTGAATAAAAAGCTTCACTTAACATAGACTTCAAATTAATATGTATTTGTAGAGGCACACCAATAAGCAATGTGCTTAATGCCAAGCAGGCAGAGATAAGTAAAACATAGCATGCTTCAAGAAAATAGCAATAAAAAAGAAATTGGATACATTAAATATAAACAAAAATGCAACTGAAAGAGCCCAAGCTATTTTCATTTCAATAAAACTCATCATTGCTCAAGAAAAGAATGCAGTTTTATAAAAGAAAAAAAGAGAAGGAAGATTAGAAAATAATCAAGCAGAGAAAATGATCATATATATGAACAAATATTCAGATATTTAAAAAATGCATATGAAAGACTGGAAATAGCAAATCATTCTAGCACACACTTAAAACAAATGACACTGAACACTACACAATTTTTCACGGACATTTCCAACTATAAACACGTGGCTAACTGAACATTAGGATAGTTACATTCTACAACTTGATTCCAGCTGAATTTTTTTTTCTGCTTGTTAGTAATACTTCAGGTCCAAATGATTTTCCTCATGATATACACAAGTACAGATGTAAAGCAGTCTAAGGATATGGAGAGAAAATGAATGAGAAAAAATGTAAAAAAGATGCATCACTGTACATAAGCATTTACAAGTAGGATACAAGTCATATATGTTATCATATAGTAGTGTTAGAAAGTCATAGAAGAGGTTATGTGCCCGAGAAAGATTTTTCAAGATGAATGGTTGACAGGATTATGGAAATGCTCACCGGATTATCTGTTCAGAAGGTGTTAAGATAATGGCCCAAGATAGCATAAGTGATTCCAAAGTCAATGCAACTTCAAAGTGTTAGAGTATGCATGGTTTCTTAAAACAGGCACTTTAAACCAGCAAAGATAACAAAATTAAATCAAACAGCTAATTTTCCTGAAACCATCAGTATAAATTCCAATCAGCCATTTGCATCACTTAAGGATTTTGATAGCACATGATAAAATATCAGCAAGGAGCACACTAAAAGAGTAATTCACTAGGACAAAATGGCATATGAGTCAGAACTGCAAAGATGGCGCAACTATTAGAAATCACTTATAATTCACCACACGTGAAAAACTCCATGTGATTGAACTGGCATTGTGGCCTATCGGGTAGGTCATGCTCTGTGATGCAGGCATTGAATACGGGCACCAGTTCTGCTTCCAATTCAGCAATTGGACAACTGGAGAAAAGCAACAGGAAACAGCCCAAGTATTTAGGCTCCTATGACCCATGTGGGAGACCTGAATCAAACTACTGACACTGCTATTACAGGCACCTGGGGGAATAAACCAGTGCATGAAGATCTCTGTCTGCCTGTCTGCCTCTCCCACTATAAATATTTCAGAATAAATACATTCAGTCCCCAAAAAATAAACAAATCCACGTGATCATTGCAAAATTCTAAAAAAGCACAACTTCACACTGATTCTTTTTAACTTAATAAAATAGGAACGGTGTTTTACAATTTGTTTTAATCTATTTGAAAGGCAGAGTGACAGAAAGATTGGAAGCAGAGTAGCCAGGGATAAAAGTGACACAGTGACCGAGGGTTTGAGTGTCACATCCAGCACTTGACTAATTGCTCCATAATGCCCATATTAGTATCAACATTTTTAAAACATTCAAACAAGGAATACTCCTGTATACATTTTGTGCATGCAATGGTTTATATATTTAGTTTAGTGGAAGTAAAACGGCGTGTGCACGTGTAGTTCTAACGAAGTGTGTAACAGTTTTCAGTTCCATTATAATAAACAATCTATACCACAACACTATCATGATATGTGACCAAACATTTTATTTCTACCAATTAGGTAGATAAAACAGTATTTTATTAAGTATTTGATTTGTATCTCTTTTACTGTAAAAAGACAAAAACTTCTTTTCATATATTGTGAAGTCAGATTTGGTTCATTTTTAACAACTTGATCTGGCCATTTTTCTAACAAGCATTCTTTTTTTTACTATTAATTTCTAGGAACTCATTATATATTGGGAAAAAGAATCTATCACATTCGCACATAGTTTTCTTTTTGTAGGTTTGTTTACAGCATTCTGAGCATAAGAAAAGCTGGATGGTGAGCTGAAAAAAATCCACCACAAATGTGTATTATATGTAAGTACTTGTGCGTGTATAACAATTATCAAGACACTGCCTCAAACTTCACAGCAATAATTTTAAATACATAGAAATGGTATTTATGCTAACACAAATATGTAGGTGAATACAAAACATTCATAAACCTAGGCAAAATATCAAAGTTGGATGTTTTCTCTTAACACTGATTATCTCATACACTATCTTTTAATATTCCTAAAAAATCTAATGATTTTAAGGATGAAGTAGAGTGGAAAAAACTGACTCTTTATAACTTCATAACTGACTGTTACAAAATTGCCTAACAAGTAAATGTTGAAAATCAAAGAACTAAAATGTGTTTGTCTAGTAATATACATTCTGTCTACTAGCATACATTGTCTCAAGTTCAAAATAGGGCTACTCTATAAACAAACGTAGGTGAAATTCTATGCATCTTCACAACTAAATATTTCCTTTAAGATTCGCAAGTTGTGTTTAAAATCACTACATATATATCCAACATATTTATGTCAAATCAATATGAATGGTTAAAAGGAAATCAGAAAAATTGCCTTAAATTGAATCAAATCTGTTAGATATTTTATGAGTTTCTCTCAAAGGACTGGGGACACATCTGCAAGCCTGAGAATGGGGAAGCTCTGCAATGAACACTCCCCAGGCCAACTGGAATAACAAGGAGAGAGAAAAAGCTGACACAAATTCTCAAACGTGTACTTCCCTGAATTTTCATTCCAAGACACCTATTGTTTAATCCTGATTTTCTCATACCTTTTGGTTACCATGAGTATACTTTCCTCATTCATTCTGATTGTTCGCAGCACATACACTACTACACTCCTTTTTGGGATACATAAAGGAATCCTAGAAGTCTTCCAAACCAAGGTTTTTCCTTCTGTATTGTTGTTCTCACTAGCTGGCTATTCATCAGTTGACAATTCTTACTTAGCAGATTTCTCACTAAACATCTTAAACCATCAAGTGACTTTTGAGCACTTAGCCCTAAGCATCATTCATTGTAATTGTCCCTCTTCTCAGGTTTAAACTCTATTGGATTTAAATATTCTACTGCAGTATGGAAAAGGCAGGCAAAGGTATTTTAGATTTAGAGAACGGAGGCCTTCTGGAATAACAATGCAGAATGAGAGCAATTACTAAAGATGCAGAGATGGGACTAGAAAATTGAGTTGCACTAGTCCAAAGTTATTCAGAAATAATCTGTCTGCTTATATAAAATGAAAATTTATTTAAAATTAAGAGACAAGAAAGGTAAGAACATCCAGGCCTGCTGAGGTCTTGGCCACACCTTCAGATGGGCGGCACCAGCATTACCCACCCATTTCCTAACTGAATAAGAGGCCACCAATGGGGAACATCTTACCTGTAGGTTCCCCGCCCAACAAGGAAGGGTCTGGAAATGCTTAAAATCCCAACACCCTTCCTCAGACCTTTGGTGTCTCTATCTCCCTCCTCTTTCCAGAGGCTCCCCATCTCCCGGCTTTCTTCCCTTTCCTCTCCCTTCCCTGCTCACCTGGTCCCTTCGCAGGTGGACTTTTCTGTCTGCAATAGATTCCCGGATTTTTATTTCTATGCTGAGCTGAGGAAAGAACCCACCAGACATTTCTGATAACAAAAGGAACATCAGAATTCTTAAATTCTTAAGACTTACCTTGATTCTCATTTCTGAAAGGAGACAATTAATTGGCTAAAAACTTTGGGAGAAATAGTCTAAACTACCTACAGCTTGTAGGTGCTAGGTATACTGTCCTACTTATGAGTTAATGAGAGCCCTCACATGATGCACAAACTGAAAAAGCCCAGGAAACTGAGTGAGCCTTAACATGCTGCTTCAGTGTCTGGCTCTAATCATTCCTGTCTCAAATTTCTCCAAGAGACAGACACTATTTCCTGTAAAGCTCTTAGAAACAGCAAGAGGTGGTTTGGAGGACAAACAAGATATATGTCTTACAAAGAGAAGACTGAATTCATCATAAAAAAGAACTTCAGAAGTTTCCATTCCTCTTCAACAAAACAAACATTCCTAGCATCCTTACCAGTAAACAACATCCAGTGGTGCAAAGTAATTTTTCATTATCAGGTCAGCAAAGTAAGCTTCTGTTTCCCGGCAGGCAGTTCCATTTCCAATCACCACTGTGCTGCAGCTTCAAGGGAGAAACAGAATGAGAAACTGAATGAGCTCAGGACATGCTTTGAAATCACCTGGTGAAAACGTCCAGCATGCACAAATACTATTAAATCATGCTCTGATCCTTTTATATATCCAAGCAATCTTTCCATTCTTTCATGAGAGAAACACCAATTTATGCAGAATAAAGCACTGCCCCTATACTTGGTATAGGAGGCTATTCAGAAACATTTCACATCACACAATCAAGAACATCAATTTCCTTCCTAGCTAGGAAGGAAATAAAATTAGATATGAGTCAGTAAAATCTAGAGCATTCTAGGCCATGATCAAAGGCATTTAAAATGGAATTATATGATATGCTACCAATTTCTAAAGCTTCTAACTATCACCAGAGCCATGCTTTAGATCACATAAGGAAGGAGGGAAGCAGAGAGGGTAAAAGGCACACGGAGAACCATGCAAGGAAGTGGACAGCAGGAAGGCAGGCAGGCAGAAAGGGAAACTAGAATACAGGATGGAGGGAGGAAGGCAGAAAAAACACAGCAAGGAAGTCTACACAGAAAAATGAAATGCTCACATGTGCCACTAGGACCACCTTTAATGTCAAGGTGGCAGAGGAAGGAGCATCATTCTTCTGGAGTCTCCCTATGTAAAGCTCTCCAGCAATTTCCCCAGCATTATTTTACATGGTTCCTTCTCTTTGACTTCCCTTAATCCCCCCCTCCAAATTACAGGCGTCATAGGTATCTCTGATTGACCGAGCCACTGTAGTACTCAAAAGATTACTTATTTTCATACTTGAAATTCAGCAAAAGCTGCTTTATTTTCGCTGCCTCTCGAAAGCCTTGTCCACAATGCAAGTAGACCACATCAGTATGAAGTATCTGACCTTAAAAACAAACACAACAATAAAAATGAAAATAAGCCATTTTGCAAGAAATTTAAAAAAATGACACATGAATGATCTGATTAAACAAGTTACAACAGAAAGGGAGACTGGTTTGTCTTCTAAAACAGTTTAAAATGTTCCTATTCCCTGAATCAGATCCTCCCTAAGCACTCTGAAATGCTGTTACTTGCCAAGTCCAAGATTCAACTTTGTCACAGAAAACCACTATTTGCCACATAGTATCTAAAACAAAAGTGGTTTTCTACACCATTTACTAAACACTTACTGCTCAGCAGACACTGTTGTGATACTCTATTCTTCTCAAGTTTTTGAGCTATACATTCATGATTTAGGTTTTCTGTATTACATTATGTAAAACATGCTTATTTTAGTTAAATATCTGTTTTCTTTAAAACTATTTTAACAGATTTTTGTTTTTATATTTGATGGTAACCATCTAAATAGAAAAAATGAACTGAGGGACTGACTTAGGACATTTGGAAAATAGCAAAAGAATAAAGAAAAAGCAGAGGTAGAAAATGATGAAGTTAAAAAGGAAAAAAATTTTAAGCAGCTAAACATATATATAAAAGCAATAACAACACAGCTTAAAGTTAAAATTACTTATAAGAAAAATCAGAGTGGCAATTTGGAACAGTGATTTAGACACTGTTTGGATACCCACATTCCATAATGGAGATAAAAGGTCCTAGTCCCAGCTCTACTCCGAATATTGTATACCCCTGGCTTCAACCTGACCCAGTTTTGGCTATTCTGGGCCTATGGAGGGCAGCAAATGGAAGAGTCCTATCAGTCTGTTTCTCTACTATTCAAATACATTTTAAAATCAAGAAACAGAAAAAATTTTTTTAAAGAGAAGCATACTTTCAATAAAAATGAGGTACAATTATATTGGAAATAAACAGGAGCCATAACTAGAGATTGAGTATAACTTAAAAAGACACAAAGATTAAAATAAGCATCTTCCTAGTAATTGAGATTGAATAGTGAAATGGATAAATATCTAGAATAATCTTATCAAAACTGACTGAAAATACATGTATATATAAAATTTAAAATTATTTATCCTAAAAGCAATATAATGATTAAAACTGATCTAGCAATATATTCAGTTGGGTTATCTAAGAAAAGTAAGTGACTGGACATTATTTTTTAAAAATCTAATAATATAACTTAATCACAATAACACAGTAAAGGATAAATGCCAGATGCTCTTCTGATAAAAAGAAAAAATTAAAGATGCTATTCACTTATTACAAAAATGAGCACCATAAAAAGATAACCAAACCAAAAACCCAGAATTTTATCTATAGTGTACATACATGTAGCAAGACGTCCCCACAGAACCCAAGGCAGAATGGAGCAGATGTGTACAAAGCACCACTAGCTGTGTGCATCAGAACCATGCAGAATACAACCTGAAAGACAACTTACTGGTAGGAGAAATTATAGCTAATTTGCAACCATGCTTGTAACCAGGATCCACTCCCATCAGAGTACGACCTGGGACAGGGCTTGTTAGAAGGAGCTGGCGAAGGTTCCGTCCAAACATCAATACTGATTCCTTCTCTGCATCTGATGTTAATTTGGCTCTTTAGAAATACATAAAGAAAAGAAGTACTGAGTTTTTCACTTGAGGGAGTTCTTTTCTTTATCCCTCAAAAAGGGGAGAAACTATTTTGTATAGTTATTCCTCACCGGAGCATTCATTGTAACAAAATGACATTCAAGGAAAAACATCATACAATGAAATTATATTGAGTCTACTTTTTACTAATCCCAGTAATATACCACATCACACACAACTGTGACACAAACCATATGACCTTGTCACACCTACATTCCTGTTTTATCAGCTCTGCATCATGCACAAAAGCCACAGCTATAACAGTGAGTGTGTGAATCTGGAATGGGATGGTGAGGGGACAGAGTACATACAGTTTGGATGCCACTTGGGATGACAAATACAAGTTTATCCATTTCTTTTAAATACAAACAAAATTAACTGGTATCAAAGGAGTTTAAATCCTTTCTAGGTTCTTTGACTCTCTTGCAATGGAAACTAAAGAAAGTACAACACAACAAGGTTTATTAGAGGCTAATAAAGAAAGTATAACAGAACAAGGTTTATTACAGGCTAATAAAGAAAGTATAACACAACAAGGTTTATTACAGGCTAATACCCAAACATGAGACACAGCATGGCTAGCAGAGGTTCCACGAACTGGCTCAAAGAGAAGAGGTGAACACAACTGTTAGCAGGACACACTTGGCACACTCAACTCCCATCTGTCCCTAGCCCAGTGTTCTGGCTCACCCTCTCGGCAGAGGACTCCAACTCACCCTTGTTATACAGGACATGCTCAAAATCAAGGTGTTGCTCACTACTGCCACCACAGGGAGGTCACACATCAACTGCACTAGGCTCCTTGCATGTGCACAGGGAGTAGGGGGTCCTTTGTGGTCACAGTGTGTACACTCCTTGCTCCTGACTCCTCTGAAGCTGCTTGAAGTGAGCTATAGTCAGAGATGGACTTAGGGTGGGAGACAGGTTCTTAAAGAGGTCAACAAGGCTCTCTATTTTGTGACTCCTGCTTCTACCTTGTCTCACTCTCATCAATAGATATTTCAATGTCACCTTCTCACCCTAATCCACTCTCCATATCTATCCCTTCTGTCATTCTAACAGTAAGGAAACATGACCATAAAACTAACAGACAATCCAAAACTACATCTTACATCACTTTCAAGTTTCACTAACAAACTTATTTAAAGTTTTTTAAGACTTTCCAGGGGGAAAAAAAAATATATATATATATGTGCATATATATATTTCATGATGGGTTTAAATTCATCTCCTTAAAAGTTCTCAATGCATTATCTCCCCAAACTTCTAAAAACAAAAAAGCATGTCTTTGCTATTAGACCAAATAAAAAATCCACACAATTGGCTACTAGAAAATTGAGAGTACAATGGCAATTCAAAGCTCAATTTATATCATTATTGAGAAATAACTGCTTACATAAATAAAGATGAAAATAGCCAACTAATGTTTTTCTAGCTTAATTCCGTTTCTTAAGGTTTTTGTACTTCTACCTGCTATTAGTCACTACAGGTATTTCTCAAACTTCACTTTTAATTTTACTGTCAGTCTTACACAAGATGCCATGATAGTGTAAGAGATATACAACTAAAAAGACAAGATCTCAGGCCAGTGAGGTGGTATATCTGGCTTATCCTTCACCTAGTAGTGCCCAACAGCCCACATGGGCTGTCAGTCTTACACAAGATGCCACGATAGGTGTAAGAGATATACAACTAAGAAGATCTCGGGCCAGTGTGGTGGTATATCCGGCTAATCCTTCATCTAGTAGTGCCAACATCCCACGTGGGCTGCTCCATATCTGATCCAGCTCTCTGCTTATGCCCTGGGAAAGCTGTGGAGGACGGCCCAAGTCCTTGAGCCCCTGCACCAATGTGGCAGACCTGGAAGAAGTTCTGGCTGTTAGCATCATATCAGCTCAGTTCTGGCCACTGTGGCCTTTTGGGGAATGAATCAGCAGATGGAAGACTTTTTTCTATTGTATCTCCTTCCTTCTCTATAAAATTGGCCTTTCAAATGAAAATAAATAAATGTTAGGGAAAAAAAAAAAAAAGACAAGATCTCCATCCTGTAAGCCACTGTCTGGTCAAAGAAACAGACGAGCAAAGGCAAGCCTTAAACAGTGGGAAGGCAGATAAACCAGGAAAACTTTGTAGAAGAGATGTCTGCACAGAGAATTCAGGAAGGAGAAAGGAAAGAAAGGAAAGAAAGGAAAGAAAGGAAAGAAAGGAAAGGAAAGGAAAGGAAAGGAAAGGAAAGGAAAGGAAAGGAAGGAAGGAAGGAAGGAAGGAAGGAAGGAAGGAAGGAAGGAAGGAAGGAAGAAAGAAAGAAAGAAAGAAAGAAAGAAAGAAAGAAAGAAAGAAAGAAAGAAAGAAAGAAAGAAAGAAAGAAAGAAAGAAAGAAAGAAAGAAAGAAAGAGCGAGCGAGCCTACTAGACTAGAGAGTGGGACAAGACATGAGAGGTAGGGAGAAGACACCCTAGATAATGGGAGCAACTAATCTCACATGCTAAAACAAAAAGATATGAGAGTCTCACAAAATTAGCAAAAAAAAAAAAAAAAAAGGGTATTAGAAAATATCAACGTATGAACTTTCAATGTCTGTACCACAATAACCGTACCTTTTAATTCTTTCTGGAGTTCCCTTATAGCTAGAGAGGCAAAGAAAAAAAAAAAGAAAAAACAGGTCTAAAACGAGTCATTAACAACTGATGGAATCATGACTCGTTATGAAGGAATATACTATTGAAACAACATGGGGAGAAGGGGGTTGGCAATTGAGAGGGGGGAATCCCAGACTCTATAGAATTGTACCATAAAATTCAAAAAATTCAAAATAAAAATTCAAAAAATAAAAGGGTCATGTACTCCTCTAAAAAGTCTGGATTTTAATCTGCAAACAAAGTCCACTGAGAAACTTCAAACAAACAAACATGAAACAACGGAACAGAAATGTTCAAATGCCAATTTGGAATATGTAGGTAAAGACAAGACAAAACATAGAGATCTTGTATTATTCTAGCAGAATAATCAAGACAAAAAAATAATGATTTCTGGGGCTGGCACTGTGGCATAGTGGGTAAAACCATGGTCTGCTCTGCTTGCATCACTTATGAGGGCTGGTTAATCTCCTGGTTACTCTGCTTTCCATGCAGTTCCCTGCTAATGGATCAGGAGAAGCAGGAGAAGATGGCCCAGTGTCACCCATGTAGTAGACCCAGGATGGAGCTCATGGCTCTTGCCTTCATTGCAGCCACCTAGAGATTATAAACCAACAGATGAAAGAGCTCTCTCTTTGTAACTCTTTCAAATAAGCAAATAAATCCTTTAAAATATTTTTTAAATTATGTCCTGAACTAAGACTATAGCAACAGAAAGTAAAATTCAACATATATTTTTAATAAAATATAGCAAAATAGAGAAAACCTAAGATTGATGAGAAGTAAATGTGCAAAATAACATATGGGTGAGAGCTCATGAGAGCCACAGAAATAAGCAAGGCAGAAGTAGGCTCTGTAGTCAACTAAATGAAACGATTAAATGATATAGTCTATGTAATTTAGTGAACGCACTAAAATGCAGGAAAGTATCAGTTAACAATGATCATCTTTTTTTTTTTAAAGATTTCTTTATTTATTGGAAAGTCAGATATACACAGAGGAGGAGAGACAGAGAGGAAGATCTTCTGTCCGATGATTCACTCCCCAAGTGACAGCAATGGCCGGTGCTATGCCGATCTGAAGCCAGGATCCAGGAACTTCCTCTGGGTGTCCCACACAGGTGCAGGGTCCCAAAGCCTTGGGCTGTCCTCAACTGCTTTCCCAGGCCACAAGCAGGGAGCTGGATGGGAAGTGGAGCTGCCAGGATTAGAACCGGCGACCATATGGGATCCTGGGGCGTTCAACAAGAGGACTGTAGCCGCTAGGCCACGCCACCGGGCCCAAAATGATTATCTTAAACAGTGAAATTATTTCAGTTTTTCCCTTCAGGCCTTACCAACTTTTTCAATTTTTCTACCACTCGAGAAATTTCTTATGAATTTGGGAAATACTTTGGTTTAAAAAGACTATTAGGCATTTCTGCCTCTCAACTACTATTTAGGTAAATGTTTCTGTCAAGAGAGATAACTGAAGACAATGTCTGCAAACTAACTTCTGAATGAAATAAGGTATTTTTTTAACCCCTGGCGTTTTTAAAAAGAAAAGAATTTTTGCTTGCCTACTGCTAATGGAAATAAGGAAAGAAGTATAATACTCCCAAGCCATTCTGTATATCACATGTTAATCAACTTATCCCACAAGCAATGAAGATACTCAGACCAAATACATGGAAAAAGGTCAGAAGTAACAACAGATTATTGCAAGCAATAGAAGAAAACAAAGAAAAATACTACAAGAGAAGCTAGTTTTTCCCTTCCTTAAGAATGAAATTTTTATTTTCAAAATTTATGCACTATCACTTAAAGGAGATAATTCTTCACACTGACATACAATGAAGTAAGTTGCAAAGGGAAAACTGTTTTAGGGAGACTACTAGACTAAAATGAAAATGAGATTAAATGACATTGCTAAAAAGGACACTGGACAATGGAGTTCTCTCTCTCTTTTGCTGTTCCATGAGGTGGACAGAGTTCCTATCAGTTGCTTCACTCTTGCAACTGACCACAACAGCCCAAGGCTAGGGGTAACGAAGGGAGCAGAGAACTCAATCTAGGATTACCTTGTGAATGACAAGAACCCACACAACACATACCTGAACTCTCTACAGAGAAGAGGATAAATGAGGCGTTTGAAGGAATCATCCAGTGAATTATATAAAATCTTCATTAACTCCGGTCTTGCAAAACCACGTGGTCTCCACCTGCAAAAAAAAAAAAAAGCTCATACTAAAATCGACATAAAAACGAGACCACTAATAGAATCCTGGAAGAATGAGGATAAAATATAGAGGAGGAAAATTGATATTGAAGCTGAAGTAACCCAACCTGTGAGGAGACGGTCATGGTGTCTGGAAATTATTGCTGTAACATCTCGAGGTTTTATTTTTAAAAACCTGGTAAATACAGTCGACATAAATTCAACGCAAAAACTTTCTCTTCTGGGAAGAGACCCCAAAGCATTATTAACAATGGCTAAAATCATAAAATATAAGTAAGTCACCAGAGAATCACTACAACACTGCTATAGACTGAATTACATCCCTTTTCAAATTCATAGAGTAAATGTCAGTCATCAGCTTGACAGTCTTAGGAGATAATTAGATTTAGATGAGATGATACCAAACAGTGCTCGCTTTCTCTCCCCCTCTATCATACGATGACATGGGTGGAAGGCAGCTGTCAGCAAGCCAGAAAGACAGCCAGGAAATGAATCAGCTGGCACCCTGATACTCCACTTCCTCTTCCAGAGCCAGAAAAAAATAAATTTCTGTTTTATAAGCCACCCAGCTTGTAGCATTTTGAGATGGCAATGGGAGCTATGACAAGTACTGCACCTTTTCCTATTTATCTCTTACTGAGAGACAAAGTAGAATGAACAAAGGACAAACTATTACAGCTGTGGCTTCTTGCCATTCTTGGCTAGAAGATATTCTTCTGTTCGGGCCACACTGTGGAGCATCTGCATGCATATTATAGAATATGTAAACACCATAGAACCAACTGTTAGTAGACAAAACAGAAAAATGCAAGCTGAGAAGACAAATTCAGCCCTGTCCTTTCTGTTTTTATGCAATTCCTCTTTCTTTGCCCTTCAGTAGTTCTTGAAAATATTGATGTTTTAAAATATTAATGTGTTCTAATAAAAAATTAATATACTTTCTCAAAGGATATTCAATCTCCCTACTTATTTCAGTTTAGGTAATAAACTAAACTGCAGGAAACAAACATTTAAGCAAGTATGATGTGTTGTACCAAAGGTTTTAGAACACTAATTAAATTTCTTCCTGCACAAACACAGTTTCACTCTTTCATTTCTAAGAAGATGCTTTTATGCATGACATGTATTGTTCCTTCCATTCAAATCCTTGCAGATGAGCAAAAGAATCAAGGCAAGCAGAAGCCTAGACTGGGCCAGGTTATAATACCCACCAGCATATATGTGGGTCAGGTCTGGGAGTGGGCCAGGCTGGGTCAGTTTATAATATCCATTGGCAGATCTAAGAACCAGGGCTGGATGCAAGAGGGGCCAGGAGAGGCCACAACACCAGTTAGTTCATATCAGGGCCAGGACTGGAGGCTGGCACGGGCTGGCTGGGTCTGACTGGGCTGCAGAATCCACCAGCTTGAGCTGGAACTGGGGACAGGCTGGACTAAATCAGGCTGGAGTACCCACTAGTGGATACCAAGGTGAGGTGAGCTATGATAGTCAGGGGGAGGTAGGTACTGGGTCCATGAGCCCCAGGGGTGGGAGTCTAGCAGGGACTGGGTTGCCTGCCCTGGGTCCTTGGCTCATCTGCAAGATAAGTGGCAGGTCCATGAGCCCCAGGGGTGGGAGTTCCAGCATGGCCCAGGTCACCTGGCCCAGGTCCATGGCCCACCTGCATGGTGTGTGCCAGGTTCATGAGCCTCAGGGGCGGGTGGTCCCAAGTTGCCTGGCCTGGGTATACTTGGCTTGCATGTGCAGTGCGTGTTGGGTCCATGAGCCTCAGGTGCATGGGATCTGGCAAGGCCCTGGATGCCTGGCCAAGGTCCTTGGCCTGCCTGGTGGTGGGGGCTGGGTCCGTGAACCCCTGGGGCTGGGGATCCAGCAGGATCCGGGTCACTTGGTCTGGATTCTTGTCCCTCATGCACGGTGGAGCTGGGTCTGTGAGCCCCAGGGGTGGGGATCCGGCAGGGCCCTAGTCGCCTGGCTAGGGTCCTTGGCCCACCTGCGAGAATTGGTCCTCCTCCTAAGATGGAGTAGCAGATACAACTGGCTCAGATCCATGTGGAAGATATGGAAGCCCACTGAGCCCTGCAGGAGGCATTTGTACCATCCCAAAGGAAGGAAGACAGAGCAAATGGGACTACACCAGCCAAACAATGACAGAAATTTCTGGGCAAATGCAGACTCTGAGGTGGACTGTGTCAGCCAATGGACTTTGAAAGGGTTTCCTCATCCTTGGATCGGTTAGATTGATAGCATTTCAGAACTACTGAAACCATTCAGCGGAATCCTGGCGTGTGCCCCACATTGGGACCTGACTTGATATTGGGTGGCCATTCTCCATCCCTGAGTTCTGGAGCTACTGGGAGGCTGGGTATAACTTTTTCCCTTATCCCTTCCCCAACACTTTCCCTAAAACAACAAAGAGAAGCAAAAAGTTTGGAAACAGTGATTACACCCACTTTTCACTAACCCATCCCACTCTGATCAATTATGTGAACATCATCTAAAATTAAAAATAAACTAAAATAGGAAGACACAATTCAGAAAAAAGATACCTCATGAAATGGAGAACACATTCACATGTTTTATCACAACTATTTTATTAGTCCCTTACTATGCCTAACATTCCAAAAAGCTAAAGCTAATCATTAAAAGTGCTATACAAATGAACACTATTTTTAATAAATTATATGTTCATCAATTTTTTTGAAAAATCCAAGTGTTAACTTTGTCTTGAACGCAGAAAATATTTCAAATAAGTTACATACTGTATGTTCAGAGATTTATACTATAATATTCAATACACTATTTCACTCAATCAGACTTGAATGGACAAAAAATTTCAACTACACTACAAAGAGTAAGATGCTTCCATTTATTTTCTCACAATGGATGGCATGCTCTTCATAAGATATAGACAGTACCATAAAGCTTTCAAGCAAAAGTTCCTTTTCTTAGAAATAATCATTACTAACTATTCCTTCTGTGTCTTCCCAGTTATTTTCTATTTAAACACATACAACATGTATACTATTAACGCAAAAAAGGGTGTCTCTATATTGCCTGTCACTTGCATTTTGTTATGCTACATAATAGTCATTTCTCCACATAATCATATTTAGGAATCTATGGAGTATTTTAGAAAAGAGAAGAAATTCTGTAAAAAATCTATAAACTGACCTGTTTCGGATGCACCACCTACAGAATTCATTTTTCACTCCATCAGAAATGTTAACCTTCACTGTCAGTATCTTCAAATTTTCTCCACGGTTAATTGCCAGAATCTGAATGAACAAATATATGACACTATTAAACACACCCAATATATATAAGGGAGAAGAGAAAAAGTTGCAGAAGGAATTTGTAAAGAGAAAAATGACTCAGACTTGTCCAGGTTTGAAGAACGAAGAATTTCAATATCAGTATGAGATGATCCATTTAAGATAAACACGTATGTTTAGCTATATTTGTGTTAAGAAAACGCAAAGATAGATGATCTTGAGGTAAGTGTTTGATGCAAGGAATCTTGGAATATCTTCATCACCTATCAGATTGTCTGGGTTTGAATTCTAGCTCCCCTTTTAGTGCACAGCCTGGAAGGCAGCAGGGTCAGCCCACATACTTGACTTATATCACTAATAAAGGAGGTCCAAATGGAGCTCTGGCTCCCAGCTTCAGGCTGGCCCAGCCTCACCTGTTCTGGGCATTCATGGGAAGAACTGGTGGGTGGAAGAAATTTATCTCTGCTGTCTGTCTCTTTGTCTCTCTCTCTCTGCCTTTCAAATAAATAAATTTATTTGTTTTTATACCACAGTTTCTGCAGAAAAAAAAAAAGAGAGAGAGACCCATCTGATCTGTTGTTGGAAGAAAGAGAAACAGCCCTACGACAGGCTCAGGAAGAGAAGCATAAGCTTTAGATGTCTGTCCCTGGCATCTTTAATTCACACGAAATTCCAGAAAAAATGTGCGATTAAAATCTGAAATCGTGCTGTTTCTCTTTATCTTTTTTTTTTCCTTCTGCTGCAACTCTTATTAGCAGTATAAAACAGCATCTGGATATTTGTTGACCAAAATGATGCCAATTTGTAAATTAAAATGCCAGTGGCAAAAAAAAAAAAAATCTTCAACTCAATAAGAAAGAATGAATTATCATGAAAGAGGTTCAATACCATTAACAGTTGGTTACCAGGAAAAACCACAGAGGTCAAGCTTGAGACAGAGAATGTGACATACTCAAAGTGCTAAAATAAAAACAATATCAACCAAGAATTTCATATCCACAAAACTTAACATTCAGAAAACATCCTGGAGACCGGCTAAGTAACAATGTAAATATACTCAGCTTTACAGGTCTATATTCCAGAAAGTGGTTAGAATGATTCACTTTATGACACAACTGAAAATAATTTTAAAGGAGAAATTAAGACTCCTTAAATAAACAAAAATCAAGGGAATTTGACACTGAAAGACCTGCCCTGCGTGAAATATTACAGAAACTTCTTCAGGCTGAAGTGAAAGAACACAAACATACCAGGAGTAAAGAATATTGGTAAAGCTAGCTAGATGTACAAATACATATATAATATATAATTAAACATATACATATGACGCCATACATATATAATATATAACCCCTCTTTTTTCCACCATATGATTTACAAAGTCACATTCTGGAATATAGATAGAGCCTGTAAATACACTTAGGAAAAAAATCACTGAACTGAAACATGAAATCAGAAAACTGAGACTAAATCAGAGGTATTTATTTAACATAGAAATAATCCCAAATTGAGTTCAGATCCAAGTATTCTAGGAAGCAAAGTCTAATAAGAGAAATACCACCCAGAAAGTCAATATACCTAAGTTGCAATATAATCAAACTCGGCTAGTAATTCTCAGTGTCACCACCTTCTCTAATCATCACTTGTGATATGGAAAGAATTTGGCAATTTTAAGAATCTTTATAACGAAGAAAATAAAATACACAAATCTCCTTAAACCCCTAGTAGATAGGCAAACTCAAAGTATTATTATTACTACTATCAACATGAATGAACAGTTAGTTACCTGGTGATGTTGGATATTTCTTATATTGCATGAAAAATTTTGATAGAGTTGAAACTTGTCAACATCTTTCTCATTTACTTTTTTTGAGGAGACTTTTGCCAGAGACGATTGTATACAAATATATCTATTTTGGCATCTATCCAAACATACAAATGTTAAAAAAAAAAAAGAAGCAGTTATCAACCTGTATTTTAGAATATGACATACTGAAGTATGAGTAACAAAAAGAATAATCCATTATCAAGCAAAATATGTTCAATGATGCTCAACTATGAAAACAAAGTTATTAACCTATTAAAAAAGGAGTTTGGAACAGCTTTTTAGCCTTGCAATCAAGACCCCTATGTCCCATAGCAGTGTACTTCGGTTCCCAGCTCTGATTCCAGCTTCTTACTCCATGCAAACCATGGAGGCAACAGTGATGACCCAGGTAATTGGGTTACCATCACCCAAGTAGGATATGTGGACTGGGTTCCCAATTTTTTACTTCAGCACTTTAGGCATTTGGGGAATAAGCTAACATATGGGAGCTCTCTCCTATCAGTCTCTCTCTTCGTCTGCCTCTCAAACAAATATATTAATTAAGTTTTGAAAAAGGAGAACTCAAGCGTTCATAGGTTCCACAGTTTTATATACTAACCCAATCTCCCCCATAAAATACCCAAATGAATTCAGATTTCAAGTTCCATCTGTAGGCAGCCAAGAGGCTCTCATCTAAATATTATCCTTTCCTTACCACATAGTTAGTCACAGTGAATTAAAAGTCAAAAAGGAGGGAAATAAAAGGATATATCAGATGGCTTTCAATAGCAATTTATAAAATGGAGCAAAAGTGCAACACCATAAGTAGCTATAGAAACAGGTTTTAAACTTATGTTAGAAAGAAAGAAAGAAAGAAAGAAAAGAAAGAAAGAAAGAAAGAAAAGAAAGAAAGAAAGAAAGAAAGAAAGAAAGAAAGAAAGAAAGAAAGAAAGAAAGAAAGAAAGAAAGAGAAAGAAAGAAAGAAAGAAAGAGAGAAAGAGAAAGAAAGAAAGAAAAAGAGAGAGAGGGAGGGAGGGAGAAACTTAAGCAATTCTCATACTTCAACTCACTCCTTCTGGAGCACTACAAAAACAGAAACGTTCTCACCCTATATTGACAAAACCACTGGCCAGCACAGTAGTCAACTACTTAGAAGACAGATATATACTCTCTCTTTCACTCTCCTCTGGAGAGGGGTGAGGGTTGTGGAGACAGTGAAAGGAAGAGGAGAGCCCCTGAAGAGGCAGCTTGCCTTCTCTTCTGATACATAGCAGGAAAGAGATACACATAAAAAGAATTTTGTATTAATTTCTTTTTTTAAATGAGGTATAAAAGCCATATGCCCAAGTAGCTCCATGTCAAAGATCTATCTTTTCAGAGCTGGCTCCGGGATGCATGGAAGAGCTGCTTTCCCCAACAGTCAACAATGAGTTCAACACACCGACCCATACCTGATATCATACATTATCAAGTCAACTCAACCAACAGTCAACACCAGAAATGAGAATTATAAAATTAAGCACATACCTCAAAATGAATATGCTTAATACGAAGCTCACTATAAAACAAAGTGTACCGTAAACATGAATCTCTGCCTGGTAAATACTGTGCAAGGCAGTGGTTTTTAAACTGTTCTTTAGAACCCATCATTGAGTGTCTCAGTATAAAGAGGATGAGTAGGCAGAGTTTCAGGCTCCCTGCCCAGAATTCAATTAAAACTACTTTTATCTGTATTATATATTAGGGTTCTGCTGTTTGAACAAAAAGTTCTGATACTTTAAAAAGCCAAAAAGAAAAGGTTTTTGCGAACACTGGCATTAGCATTAGCCATGTGACTCTTAACAGCACGAGTCCACAAAGCAGAGAACTCCATGAAAGAGTTACTCACAATTTCCGAATGAAGTCAAGTGTGTCTTTGTCTTTTGCAATCATGTCTGCTAAAATATGCTGCACTCCTGTTTCAACATCCTGCAGCATTGAAAGCCCTTTAGAAGGGTAAGAGGAAGAACAAACACAAAAAGTGCTAAGATTAATCTTAATGTTTATAATGAAATCACACTAAATTAATTCCAGTCAAAATAAAATCCTAAGGGGGAAAAAACTGAAGAAAGATATTGTAGCAGTGACTAGCTTATAACAAAAAGCATGTTTCCAAAGCAATACTAGAGACACTTCACATGTTATATGGCCTAGTGCGAACAATGCAGCTCCAGAACCAGCTCCCTGGCCTAACCCTGGCTCTACCATTTATCAATTGTGGGATCCTGTACGCTTTTGAATTCTTTGTACCTCATTTCCCTATAAAAATCAGATAATGCCACTACCTCATTCATGAAGTAGCTGCAACAACCAAGTATGTTATACGAAATATGGAGAATAGAATTATATCACCAAGCACACTCTCTCACCTATTAACAAAAACTTTCCTTTACAAAACAATTTTCAAATACTCCAAATAGTAACTATTTAAATTTTTCAAATCTCATAAACAATCATACACTTGTTCATTTTCACAGTTAATCTGTCTATAAATGATACACTAAGTCCCCTACTGATGCTTTGCTTTGCTAATTTACAGTAAAGAGTTTTGAACATCATGCCCCCTGTGACACTAACTTACACAATGAGATTTATTTGCGTAGCTTCTTCATTCCTTTAATCTTTTTGCATCAAAGCTGTGTTTTTTTTGTTTTTACTTTTTACATTAAAGCTTAATTTCTTTAATTAAAGCTTAAGTTAAGCACTGTACGTTTTTCTGTGAGTATAATCTTAATGGACAATAGGTACAAAAGCTAAAGAGAACCAGAAAATAAATTTACTGAAGCATAATTAGTAAAGAAAAAAGGTAACATTAATGTTAATTACCAAAGTAAATGTATTACTCTTTTAAAATTACTTATTTTCTAATTTTAAAAATGAAACTTGGTCACTCAAATTCATAGGAATTGTATCCACATTTTAAGAAAATTTAAAAATTACCTGACAGTTGCATACATGGATTCATTTTTTAAAGATTTATGTATTTTTATTAGAAAACAGATATATATATAAAGAAGGAGAAACAGACAGAAAGATCTTCCGTCCGCTGTTCACTTCACTGATCCGAAGCCAGGAGCCAGGAGCCTTCTCCGAGTCTTCCATGTGGGTACAGGGTCCCCAGAATTTCAGTCATCCTCCATTGATTTCCCAGGGCACAAGCAGGGAGCTGGATGGGAAGTAAGGCAGCCAGGACACAAACTGGCCCATATGAGATGCCAGGCACACAAGGTAAGGACTTTAACCACTAGGCTACTGTGGCAGGGCCACATATATGGGTTTTAAAATGGCTGTGGCACATAGTCAGCATTTAATAAACATTCATCCTGTGTAAAATATCTCCCTAAAGAAGTCTCCTGGTAAGAACTGTGTGAGCTAAGTTTTGAAGCCCCAAAGCACCACACAGCAACACTACACAAAATTCAATGGCAAGAATGAAAATCAGTAGCGAGGATTAAACCTACCATGTGAAAAACTAATAGAAGCAGATAACAGAAGGAATTACAGTCTTTGCTGTAATAAAAGGCCTTTGAAATCCTCCATGACACTATGGAAAACAATTTGAAACCTAAAATAATCAATGTACCTTATGTAACTAAAAGTGTGCTAGGGCTCTAGAGAAATGTTTCATATAATCTAAGGATCCAAAAATAAAATCATACTGGGTACTTGTTACCTATAAATTTCTATATGGCACGCTTCTGATACTCATTAAACTTTAAAGCACTACTCCTCAGAAGGAGCTCTGAGCTACCTTTAAAGCAGTGGTGCTCAGTGGGAGGTAGACATGAACAGAGTCATTTGAGAAGTTCAATCAAATATCATACTCCCTTTTGCAGTCCAACCAGGGTGAAAAAGGGTTAGAAACAAAGTCTTGTGTGTTTTGAAAAACCTCCTTCCTTCATCAAAGAGACCTGTTCTTTGTGGCTTAATACAGCCAAGGATAACAAGAGTTCCAAAATTTTAGCATCTCAATGAAATACAGAGCAAACAAGGTGCACAGAGGCAGTAAATCACATCCTTTTCCTTATAATGAAACCTTTCTGAGAGCAGACTCTCCAAAGCTCCAGACGCACAACACAGGTGGAAAAGCCAACATTACTTTTCACTTCATCAGCACTTAGGCTAGCTCTTCTTACACTTAATACAACACTAGCTACTACCCCCTTGCACGCAACAGAAAGATATTCAGAATCACCTAGAACATGTCCATTTTGTGGCACAGTGTAGATTTCCGATTCAGATTAAATTCTGGTTAATCTGTGACAATGAGGGAATGTCTTCCACTGAGAAAAAAACTGAAGTATCTGATTTAGAACGTGGGCACCCCTGCTGGATAACTACTTCCATTGGAAAGTGAATACGGATGGGGGCAGTTCAGACTAGGCAGGGCTATAGCACCTATGGGCCTCACGGTGAGCTGACTGTTCTGACTGGTGCAAGTTAAAATTAGAGTGGGTTGAGGGGTGTTTGGGCTTAGCCACAGCGTTAACTGGCAGAGGCTGGTACTAGGAGCCAATTCTGACAAGTCAAATGCCAAAACTACCTGGAGACGGCATACTCTGGGAGTGGGTGTGACCTAGTAGGGAAATAGTGGGCACCTCCCTCAGGGTTACCACCCTCACTGGACAGCATGAAACCCAGGCTAGGAGCAGGGGTGGCTTGACAGAAAGGCACCTGCCAGTGGGTGTATGGGCTGGATAATAGGTTGGTTGGGTTGAACCAGGCTTCAATGTCCATTGACGTGTGCGAGAGCTAATTGGGATGTGGGACAGACTGGACAAGCCTGCAGTGCATACTGGCAAGCATGGAAACCAGGGTAGGGGGCAGAACTGGTAGGGGTTTTGGGGAGTCGCCCCAACTAGGCTGTAGCTCCAACTGGTTTGCATGAAGACCGAGTATGAAGTGGGTAGAATCGAGCTGGACTACAACACCCATTGGTTCACAAGGAAGACAGGGCTGGAAGCCGAACGGACCCAGCAATCGCAACGACCAGCATATGCATAAGCTGGTTGGTGTGACGAACAGTGTTGGAGTCTGTACTAGCAAACTCACTCAAGAATCAGATCTGGGATCAACTCAGATGAAGTTTCTTTGGATATTTCTCCAACTGAACTGCTGATCTTGGAACCCCAACCATCAAGAGACTGTCAGCCAGTAGACTCTGAATAGGTTTCATTACGGTTGGGACGGAGAGATTGGCAGCAATCCAGAACTGATGAACTATCAAAACTGTATGAGCAGGACCCTTGGAGCGTGCCTCATGTTGGGGATCGGGGATGAGTGGGAGGTAGGGTGGGGCTTTCCCCTTTGTTACTCCCCTAACCCTAGATACAGGGCAAAATGATTATATTAGTGTGGAAACAATGATATTACCCACTTTCACCCTGTAGCCCGTGACCCTTTGTACCCTAATAAACTAAGATTATTAAAAAAAAAAAAAAAAAAAAAAAAAAAAAGAAAACACAACAATAGGATTGAAGGTGATCAAGACTATGTGTTTATCACAGAGAATGACCAGACAGAGTGGGAAACATTCTAAACTAACTTTAAAAAGCTGTAACTGGGCCCCGTACGGCAGCCTAATGGCTAAAGTACTTACCATACACAGCCCAGGACCCCATATGGGTGCTGGTACTAATCCTGGCAGCCCTGTTTCCCATCCAGCTTCCTGCCTGTGGCCTGGGAAAGCTGTTGAGGACAATCCAAAACCTTGGCACCCTACACACATGTGGGAGACCCAGAGGAGATTCCTGGCTTCAAATAGGCTCAATTCAGGTCATTGTGGCAAATTGGGGAGTTAATCATTAAATGAAAGATCTTCCTCTCTGTCTCTCCTTGTCTCTGTATATCTCACTTTACATTAAAAATTAATAAATCCTTAAAAAAAAGAAAAAAAGCTGTAACTGGTTTGGAAGAATAATGAACTCTCCTACATACTTGATCAGGGCACAGGAAAAAAACATTTAAGGAAGTAAGGTCCTGATGTATCTGCTAATACTACAATGCCTGTGCCGGGCCCTGAGCTATCCAAATGATCAGAGGTATCACCAAGCACTCATTATCATGTATCCCACAGATCACCATGGACAACAACCAAGAGAGATGGTTGTGAACAACACAGAATCCATGAGAACTAAAGAGACCTTTGCACGAAAAACGATGGGAAGTAGAAGGAAAGAAAATCAACCATTATACCTATGCACATACAACATTTTAAAAGCTCTAACATTTCAGTCAAGTGTGAACTGTACCATGACTGGGCACAGACACTTCCTTCCAGGGTTAAGCTTAATACTTGGCTATACATTCTCAGCTACTATGAAGGTATAAACACTGTGACCACTGAAAGTCCAACTATTAACACACATGAAAAATTAAGGAAAGCAGAATTTTACTCTTTGACCCATGTCCAAATTCAAATAATCCTATCTCGCTTTTCATTATCATTCCTCATTAGACACTAATCTATAGTTTATAGATACATTCTCAATATTTTTAATTATAAAAAAATTCACATTTGGTGGATTATTTAGAACAGAAACAGGTATGGTACATAATTCTTACCGTTTAGTACATTGTGTTGATTTTGTTATCAGAGACTGCCCCCTACAGACAGCTATAGCCCAGATTATTTCAAAATTAACAGAAGGTCAAAAGCAACCAGAATCAGGGTTAGGGGATCCAGGAGGACATGTAGGCTATGGGGCACACACTTGAGCATTATACATAAGTATGTACTGAAGTACAAACCTGAATAATTTTAGAGCTGCAACAAACATAATGAGGACTACAGGCAGTATATTGTATAGTATATTGGACATTCACACAGAGTAGTAACTGTATATACTATTAACTATAAAAAAAATTAAAATTAAGTATGTAAAATGACAGGCCACATTAATTTGCCCGATTATTACATACAGCATTACCTGATCAAATAAACATTTAACTGTGTATGCTTTTATCAAAATATCATGCTGCCCACCCTTATGTATATACATTTTTAAAATATAAAAATCAACACTTTTTTTTAAAAAAAAGCAGAGCTCACTAGAGCATCCATCTTCCCAGTCCTAACCGAAAACTCCTGGAAGAAGCTCCTATTGCCCAGAAAGTTCTCCCACTAAGGTTTATTTGGACAATGAAACCAATGCACAGTCACATGAATTAACTGCCACTGTCCTCAGGTTTACTTAGCAATATCTCTTCCTCATTCTCATTCTTCATGCACGAGTGCATGCATACAATAGGAAGATACACAAAGAAATAAATGTTCAGAAAAAGACACTTATTGCTAGAGAGTAGAAGGGTGGGAGTGAGGCTACACTTAATACTTCATGCTTGTCAGAACTGTTGAAATCCTTTTTAAGGAAGAAAGCTGTGACTTACATAATGAAACAAACTGCTAAAAATAGAATAAAGGCTTTAAAAATACTGTGGAAGAAATTTTGTAACTTTGAGATATGCAGGTTTTTCTTTAGAAAGAAAAAAGCAATTAACTTAAAAGAAAAGATTAAAAATTATTATGAAACGAGGGCCTATTTATCAGGAGACAGCATAAACAAAGTGAAGACAAGTTATGCACTGAGAGAGTAATATTTGCCAGACAGTACAGTAGGAAAATGGGCAAAGGACCAGGAAAGGTATTTCATCAAAACGGGAAAGCTAAATGACTAAGCATTAGACATGCCAGGATTTATTTTATTAGAATTACTCCCCAAATGCTATCATGTCCTTTTACACAGTCCCTACTTAGTTCTTTAAACAGAAGTCTTTGGACTGTAAGCAAAAAGAAGAAACGGGTCTGATCTCCGTGGGTGAAGCTGGTACCTTTCACGTTGGGCTGAATGTAAGACAGCAGGTTGAGCTCGCCTGGCCGCTCGAGCAGTGTCCTCGCCGCTCCTTCCAATCCCAACTGTTTTGCTCTCTGGGCTTTAGTGCCTTTGCTCCCAGTTTTATATGGGGCAGACTAGAGAAAAATTGGGGCAGAAAACATATCACATAATCTATGTTTAAAATGCTAAAACTAGGACACAAGACTGCAGAACATGCTGAGAACACTAAAGACCCATTTTCTCCCTTCCCTTCCTTAGAGATGAATTAATACTAAATAAATACTTACAGTACAAAGATGGCATGTGTCTTATCTTAGTACTATTTTCGATGTGCTTAATTAGCTATTCATTTTTTTTCATGCAAATTAAAAACTGCCTGAACCACAGCATCTTTTCCTCAACACAATCAAGCTCATTCAACTTTGTCTTTACTCAGTTTTGTTTTTAAAATTGCAAAGTCAGATACACAGAGGGCAGGAGAGACAGAGAGGAAAATCTTCCATCCAATAATTCACTCACCAAGTGGCTGCAACGACCAGAGCTAAACCAATCCGAAGCCAGGAGCCTCTTCCGGGTCTCCCACACAGGTGAGTGCAAGGTCCCAAGGTTTGGGGCCATCCCAAGCCACAAGCAGGGAGGTAGATGGGAAGCAGAGCCACCGGGATTAGAACCAGTGCCCATATGGGGATCCCAGCACGTTTAAGGCAAGAGCTTTAGGTGCTAGGCTACCACGCAGGGCCCACAGTGCTTCTTTTTAATTCACACTCACTCCTCACCTGCAGGTTTGTTAGTCATACAGAAATCCGTGATGACCCCTATTTATTACCAAGCATATTTTTTTTTACAGTTTTTCCCTTGACGAATCTTCCTACTCTTTGTAACTATTGATCATGACCTCCTTCTAAAGCCCTCCTCCCTACTGTCCCATTACACAATCATCTCCAGAATTTTGCTATACTTATGATTTTTCTAGCCTTCAAAAGCTGGTGCTCCTGACCTATTTGTTCCACCAAATTCCACTTCAGTGGGTTTTTCCAGCCTCAGGTTTTCAAACACCAACTGCAGGCTGAAGATGCTCCCATCAGAGTCGCCAGCTCTGCCTTTCCCTCTGTGTACACCTTCCTCACTCCACTGCGGACGCCTCAAGGACATAGACTCCGAATTACCCATCTCTAATGCTTCAAATGCCTTGCATGAACAAGACATTCAATAAAAATAAATATTCTGTAGAATTAACTCATAATAGCTACTAATAACTTTCACTTTTTTATTTTAGTCTCCTTAAAGATTAAAATCATAGGGCCCAGTGGCGTGGCCTAGCAGCTAAAGTACTTGCCTTGCCTTGAACACCCGGGATCCCATATGGGCACCGGGTCGTATCCCACTAGTCCTCCTTCCCATCCAGCTCCCTGCTTGTAGCCTGCAAAAGCAGTCAAAGACGACCCAAAGCCTTAGGACCCTGCACCTACGTGGGAGACCCAGAGGAGGAGCCAGGCTCCTGGCTTCAGATCAACTTAGCTCTGGCCATTGCAGCCATTTGGGCAGTGAATCAGCAGAGAGAAGATCTTTCTCTGTCTCTCCTCTTCTCTATGTATCTGACTTTCAAATAAAAACAAATCAATCTCTAGGAAAAAAAAAAAAAAGATTCAAATCCTAACAGTTTCAGGGATTATATGACCAACCAAGCTCCTTACCACATGTTCCAGTTCTTCAAAAGTTTTACAGTTCAGCAAAGCATTTAACAAAGATTCAGACATCTTTCCCTCCTTCTTAATTTTCTGGATTGTACTATGAACCTTCTTGGCAACGGACCTGAAAATAAACACTGTTGTAACATCCAAGATCTACTTGTCAAGGCTGTCTTTTTGAAGTTATCTCAAACTTACAGAGAAGTTGCAAATAAAAAGAATGTTTATTTTGTCCTTTCATTGAGAATAATTACCTACCAATAATTTAAAGTGCCTCTCCCATAAACAAGACTTTGCTAAATAGCATCAATGTAGCCAACAGTACCAGATAAATAATGCTGATGTAACACTACCATCTGATCCTCAGACCTTTTTTAAGTTTCATCAATAGTCCCAATAATATTGTTGTTAATAGTGTCAGTTCAGAATCCTAGGTAGCTCGTGGTTTCGTTGCATCCACAGTTTCCTTCCACCTCAAACAGAATTATAGCCTCTCCTTGATTTTCAAGATCTAGAAACTTTGAAATGCCATAGCCAGTTAGTTTGTGGGATGTCCCACTGTGCACATTCCTGTGACCTTTCCTCAAACCAAAATCCATAGGGTATATTTTGGGCAAAACTATCACACAGGCGATGCTGTGTTTTTCTCACTGTATCACTATTAGCTTACAAGTAATTTTTAGTTGACCCATTAATTTTGGTCATTTAATTAAAGCAGTATCTCTGTTTCTTCACAATACAGGCATTCTTTATAATCCACACATATTCCCTATGTAATTACGAAGTACGTTGTGTAGAGGTACTTTCAGACTGTGTAATTGTCTTAAACTTCCAAATATTTTAAACTTTCACATTAAACTTCCAATTTACTCACTGGTTTACATATTTCATTACAGACTCGTGGTTTCTTACTTAATCTAATGGTCAAAATCCATTGCTATCACTTATTTTAATGCTCAAAAAGCTCAAAATTTCTCCGAACTCTCTCATCTACTTCCTATGCAATTCTAACACATCCTTATTGTTCTCTGAACACTTTCTCATTCTCATAGCCTAAGACATTCTGGGATCTTTTTTTTTTTTTTAAAGATTTATTTATCTTCCTTGGAAAGGCAAATTTACAGAAAAAAAGGAGACACAGAAATATCTTTCATCCGCTGGTTCTCCCCCCAAGTGGCCTTAAAAGCTGGAGATGAGCTGACCAAAGCCAGAAGCCAGGAGCTTCTTCCAGGTCTTCCACATAGGTGCAAGGTCCCAAGGCATTGGTCCCAGTTCACAAGCAGGGAACTGAACGGGAACTGGAGCAGCCACGACACAAACTGGTACCCATACGGCATGCCAGCACTTGCAAGGGAAGGATTTAGCCACTGAGCCATCAGAGCCAGGCCCCTGGGATCATCTTTTACCTTCCCTGCCCCAATCCTGGAATCAGCAAATAAGACTTTCACACAGTTACAGATACTAGATGCTGTTCATTGTTACCAAAGTACCAATGCTCAATATGGGCACATCCAGCTCCTATGGTTGGTCTCCAGATCCTATTGTCCACTACAAAGTACTAGAATTCCCTGTAAGAAAGTAAACTCCAGCAATCAGTGCACACAGATCAATATATAGATTGGACACGGGGAGGGGCAGGTGTGGTAGTTGCCCCATTTTACCCTTTACACTGTGAATCTATAAAACCATTTATGCATTTAATATGTCCTGTTTCTTCATGTCATTATTTACAGAAATGGCCTAATCATGGTATCTGCTGAAAGGACGGGCAAAGTTATAGATGATAATACGAATTACTAAAAATGAGTGATGAAAAAGAAAATTAAACATATTTAATTAAAAAAAAAGATTATCAATTAAAAGGAAGAACATATAGTTCTTAGATTACAACCGAGATGTCTTCCATAGTCCTATTAGTCCAAGGCTGTTTTCAAGGGCTAAAGTCTACCATGGCCATTCTGACAAAAGCCCAAGATCCTATTGTCCTACATATAAGAAAAAAGACCCTTTAAAGAAAAATGCAAGAAACTTTCCTTATTAATCAGATCATCCTCTTTAATTCACTTTTTAACAGTGACCCATAAGAAGAAATATCCTGGGCCCGGCACTGTGGCCTAGTGGCTAAAGTCCTCGCCTTGAATGCCCAGGATCCCATCTGTCTCTCCTCCTCTCTGTATATCTGACTTTCCAATATCCACATGGTATTAACAGATTCTACTGAGTAATATGGTCAATTTTATGGTTTTTCTACATATACTTTTCAGTTCTAACATTATGCCAGAGGCATAATTTTTCATAAGTACATATGAACGCCCAGGATCCCATATCCCATCCCATTAGATCCACCGGTTCTAATCTTGGCAGCTCCACTTCCTATCCAGCTCCCTGCTTGTGGCATGGGACAGCAGTTAAGGACAGGCCAAATCTTTGGGACCCTGCACCCACTTAGGAGAGCTGGAAGAGCTCCTGGCTCCTTGCCTCAGATTGGCTCAGCTCCAGCCGTTGCGCTCACTTGGGAAGTGAATCATTGGACGGAAGGTCTTTCTCTCTGTCTCTCCTCCTCTCTGTATATCTGACTTTCCAATAAAAATAAATCTTCAAAAAAAAAAAAAAAAGAAGGGCCCGGCGGCGTGGCCTAGCAGCTAAAGTCCTTGCCTTGAACCCGCCGGGATCCCATATGGGCGCCAGTTCTAATCCCAGCAGCTCTGCTTCCCATCCAGCTCCCTGCCTGTGGCCTGGGAAAGCAGTCCAGGACGGCCCAAAGCTTTGGGACCCTGCACCCGCGTGGGATACCCAGAAGAAGTTCCTGGATCCTGGCTTTGGATCAGCATAGCATCAGCTGTTGCGCTCACTTGGGGAGTGAATCATCGGACGGAAGATCTTTCTCTCTGTCTCTCCTCCTCTGTGTATATCTGCCTTTCCAATAAATAAATAAATCTTTGAAAAAAAAAAGAAGAAATATACTATTCCTCACATAACCACACCAATGTAGAGATCATATCTTCTTAGCAAAAAAATAAATAAATAAATAAAAATTCCATTGGGGAAAAGATCTTCTAAGTCCCAGTCAATATCGCCTCTTACTCCAAGGAATATTTCCCTACTAATATTCAATGTATTCCTTAATAGAAATACAAGGATTAAAACTCTTTTGCAGGGCCCAGGACAATGGTGTAGTAGCTAAATCCTTGCCTTGCAGCCACCAGAATCCCATATGGGTGCTGGTTCATGCCCTGGCTGCTCCACTTTCCATTCAGCTCCCTGCTTATGGCCTGGGAGGGCAGTAGAGGACGGCCCAAAGCCTTGGGGCCCTGCACCCACGTGGGAGATCCAGAAGAAGCTCCTGGCTCCTGGCTTTGGATCAGCTCAGCTGCAGCTGTTGCAGCCACTTGGGGAGTGAACCAGCAGACAGTTCTTTCTGTGTCTCCTTCTTTCTGTAAATCTGCCTTTACAATTAAAAAAAAAAAAAAAAAAAAAAACCTCTTTTGCCATGAAACTTTTTTTACAAAAAGCATAATAAAAATTTAAAACATAAAGCTTCTGTTTGTCAACCATAACAATTTTCAGAACACCTAAAATACCTAAGTAAACCATTCTTCCTTGTGATATCTTCCCCAATTTCAAGTCCCAAAACTCTCAACTTTCTTCATTACACTGTCTCCACCCAAATACGCAGCTCCCTTTGTAATATGCAAACTGCTAGCTTTCCAAATAATTTTTTTGCACAAAATCTAAATAACCAGCTTCATTTTAGAAAAAGACTATAACTGGCCCTACATGTAAGTAGTATAGTGGAGGCAAACTAGGATTGCTTCTCTTATCAGGATTTGAAATCTCCAGTTCTTATTTACCAATGCTTGATTTAAATAGTCTGGCCCTGGAAGATTGGCATCTGAGATCATTTGGTTAGCAGGTCATTTGTAATTCCAGGTTGGCGAACAGATTCGGTCTCTCAGTGAAACACAACCTTGCTCTTATCACTAATTTGTTCTCTTGGATGCAACAGAACTTTAACAAACTGGATAGAAAAGTTAGAACATCACAAATCTCCCAAAAATTACAGAAAGTTTATCATGCTTACTGTAAAAATAACCCTTCTTAGAATTTTAGAATGGCTTGATGATAGGATTATGTTCAATTTTTATCAGATCCCTGTTGTAGACTTGTAGAACATACACATCAACAACACAGGGCCTGTGGTATGCCTGTGGCTAATGTGTAAACTGTGAACATGGTATTAACAGATTCTACTGAGTAATATGGTCAATTTTATGGTTTTTCTACATATACTTTTCAGTTCTAACATTATGCCAGAGGCATAATTTTTCATAAGTACATTCCATTCTAAAAACCATATAAAGCTTATAACCTAACATTAAATTATCATTAACTTCTAAAAGAATAAAAAAAAGAATTATACATATTTTCTATCATATTCCACTCTACTAAGAAATCATTTAGGGACATTAATAACACAGCCTTATGGCAGCTTTGATTATTTAGACTACAATGTATTTTTCTGAGTTTCCTGCTGGCAATCACAACCCTGACACTCTGCTCCATCATTTTTGTGAGTGAAGAAAAGAGTCCACCTCAGAGGCACTCACTCTCCTTGCAAACCACCTTACTGCTGAAAAAATGCTCCAAGTTATACATAAACACACCAGCAGAGGGACTCCAAACACCTCAAAGTAAGTCAAATGGAGTTGATTCTGTGCCAGAAGGATATGCAAAAAACAAAAAACAAAAAGCTTGGGAAAAAAAAAAAAAGCTTGGAACAAAAGCTTGGAACTATCAAAACATACTGTAAATTCATATTCTCCCCGTTTCTTACTGGTTCAGCTTTTCTCCTCCCACTGGCCTCATCCCCTCCCAGGTTTCTTACCGAAGCTCCTTAAGGGTTTGTTGAATTTCTCTTAAGGAATCAGCATCAAGGTCATTAATGAGCTCTTTCCGGTAACGTATGATGAAGGGAATTGTGTTATCATCATTAAAGAGACGGATGATGTTGGCACAAACCCAAACTTCATTATTAGTTCTCTCAGCTAAAACCTGCAAAATACATTCAGTGAGTTTAAATACTAAAAACTAAATATCTAGATTTTAATGCATACCTTAAAAATATTTATCTAATAATGTTCTCCAATCTCCTAAAAGCTGCTTGCTATGGTTTTTTTAATCCTATATGAAACACACATCGACAATGCGGAATTTACTAATGCAATCCAATCCAATCAGAATAACTGCATCATTCAAATCCAACAGTGCTCAGTAAGAAAAATTTTCACTGAAGCAACAATACAGCCTTTCATCTCTTAAACTGGGAGGCAAAGAGCTAGGAACTGGTAGCTCCCGGTGTTGGCTCAAGTACATGGGAAGGTGTTTATTCCACTTCCAAGGGAAGGCACAACAGCCTGCTCTATGCAAGAAGGGCTGTCACTGTCCTTCATTCCGGCCACCCCACAGTCCATTACAGCTCCAGCCTCAACTGAGGGAACTAAGGCCAACTGCTCTCCCTGCATCCATTCCAATCCCACGCAGTCCAATTTCATAAAGCAGTAAGAATATTCTCTGCAAGATGTTTACTGGACAATCTCATTTGACTAGACAGAAGATGGTGCTAATCCCCTCCTTATATCTGGACTCTGAACTCCTTACCTTGACCCAAAAGAGAGCAGCCTTCCTCCCCAGCTCCACATGATCTCTGCAGGATTAGCAGGCTGCCTCAGTGCCTTCCCTCAGTGACCAGCGACCTCTTGTCAGAGGTTGCTCTCCTGCAGAAGCACTCCTTGTTATCCTCTCTGACCTCCACAAAATCCAACCCATTAGTATTTCCTCTCTCAAACTGGCACCTTTTTCTGACTTGTAGCCCAGTCATTGTCATCATCACCATCTACTACAGTCTTTGAGGAAGTACTGTGGTTACCTCCTCCAATATTATGATACTAGCCCACTAGGTATGTGTCACTTGACAGTACTTCATGTAACTCCAGTTCCATAACATCTGGTTCAACAACCAGTTGTGCTGGTACTGTGGCACAGCAAGTTAGAATACAGCCTGAAATGTCAGCATGCCATATGAGCGCCAGTTCAAGTCCCAGCTTCTTCACTTCAGATACAACTTCCTGGTAATGTGCAGGAAAGCAGCAGAAGGCCCAACTGCTTAGACCCCCACAGTCCCAGATGGGAGATGCAGGCTACTGGCATTGACAGTTACAGCCATTTGGGAAGTGAACCAATGGATCAAAAGCCATTTCCTCTTTCTCTTCCTTCCTCTGTCATTCTGCTTGTCAAATAAATAAAATAAATGTTAACACACACACACACACACACACACACACACACACACACACACACACAAAACATACACAGCCAAAATATGACGCTGCCCTGACCAAGTAGATTAGCAAAAGCAGCATAAAGTTCAGGACTGGGGCTGGAATAGTAGATCTGAGTATGATTATGACATCTTCCTCTGGAGAAATATAATTTACAGAGCCAGAAACTTAAAGCTAAAGCTACACCGTTTTTTTTTTTTTCCTATTAAGAGAAAGATGGTGCTAAGAAAACAGTAGAGGGACTGCTTTATGTTTCAGTGCACTGATCTAAACTTTCCTGTTCCAAAATCAATAAATCTTTATTGCGTAAACTATTTTGAGACGGGTTTTACCTTATTGTAACCAACAGCTTTCTAATCAACAGCCTCAGCATCACTGCAAGTTCTCTATCACATCCATCTGGTCTATTACTAAGGAGGCAAACAGAACTTCTGAAATGTTCTTTCCCCTCAAATGCCCTTTCCACTAATATCTTTCATCTGACCATAAGGTAGGGCTTCTGGTTGTTGCTCTCTCCGCCACTCACTCAACCTCTCTGCATTATTGCTGTTTACTTTTCTAAAACTCAGTGCAAGAAAGCCCATTTTTTTTTCTTTTCTGGTTTTGAATGTAGCTCCAGTAACTGTAATCTACCTAGTAATAAAAGTCCAACAACTTTATTAGAGTTTTAAAGTCCCCATTCAAGCTTGGCCCTGATTTGTCACTGCCCTCCAGGAGTTAGTAATCCACAAGGGAAGATAAAACAAATACAAGTATAGTACAAATAAAGCAGCACATGCCAGGCACTGACTACGCTTTCGGAGAAGAGGAAGATCTCTAGGGAGCTGACAAAACTCTGAAAGGAGATGAGAAGTGGAAATGACCGAAGCACTCTTCATGTTGGAGCTATAAGACTATCCGAGCTACCCCAGGGCTCCTACTGCCCTAAACTATCACAGCTACTGGTAGAGAGAACCTAAGACAGCTAAGACTCCAGATCATCTTCTGAACAGTACAGACACAGACAGCACCCATTGATACCTATGTAAATTTGCTCCTCCAAATTTGTTCCATATGTTAGGACAAACAAAACTACCTGTAGGCAGTCATCACTTTGGGGCCTCCAAATCACCGTATATCTACTACATTGCTTTAGTCAAACAACTGTTTTAGCTCATGCTCCACGCCAATATGTATACAAGGGCAGGGATAACCAAAATGTATAAAATCAAGTATGTCTTCTAACGGAGTTAACAAGCTAAGACACAGAAGTAAACAACAGTGTGTGTGACATGAACTCTCATGGAGTTGATATGCAATGTTTCAAGAGCATAGGACAAGTTAGAACACCTAACACTACAGTGATACGAAAACATAGGTATGTCCAGATATTTAAATAAGGGTGGTTTGGGGGTAGTGTGGGGAATGGGCAGGAATTCCAGGAAGAGAATGGGATATCAAAAGTCAGAGACCAGAAACAATTGCAGTTTTAAAAGACCAACATTCAGTCATGCTAAACTGTACAAGGAGTGTAAAGATCAGGTAAGAAATGAAAAGGTAAAGGGGCCAGATGGCGAATTCTGTAGAGTTTCAGCTAGGGGTCAGCACTGTTGCACCATGGGTAAAGCTGCCACCTGTGAACAGCACCGTGTATAGCTGCAGGTTCATTTCCTAGCTTCTCCACTTCTGATCCAGATCCCTGCTAATGGCCTGGTAAAAGCAGTGAGACATGGCCCAGATATTCGGATTCCTGCACCCATGTGGGAGACTCAGATAAAACTCTTGCCTTCTAGCTTTGTCCTGGCCTTTGCAGCTACCTGGGGAATGAATCCCAGATGGAAGTTCTCTCTCTATCTGCAGCTCTGATTTTTAAATAAATAAAACAGAATTTTTTAAAAAGAGGTTTAAAAATAAACTGCTGCATGGGATGGCCACATTGCCCTACCCAAGTGCCTGCTTCAAGACTCTGTCACTCTGCACTTGTACTTATGATCCAGCTTCCTGCTGATGCACCTGAGAGGCAGCAGACAAACACAATGACCCAAGTATCTGCCTTCCTGCCACCCACACGGGAAGTCCAGATGGCGTTCTGGCCCCTGGCTTCTGCCTGGCCCTATACAAGTTGTTGTAGGCATCTGGAGAGTAAATCCTGGAAATTCTCTATTTTCCCCTCCTTTCCTACCTCTCTCTTTTATCTCCCTCTCTTCCCATCCCTCCCTCCTTTCCTTCCTACTTCTCTCTCCCTGTTCCTCTCTTTTATTTCAAATAAATCTTTGAAAACAATACATGTACAAAGCAAGATGATTTTTCAGGCAAAAACACAAATTAATCAAACAGCTTCACTCCTCCTCCTAAGCTCTACTGCAGAACAGTAGAGCTCTCTGCCTGTCAACCCCCTCCCAACTAAGTGCCATCTTCCAAATGTCATAAGACATACTCACATTTCCTCAAGTAGCAACAAATAACCTTTAGCCTTAATCTGAATTTTAAAGGAACAGCTAAAGAAAATGAATCCAGTGAGTACAACTCAGAGGACTTGCTCTTCAAAATCTCTTCCAAACCTACACATACTTGCCTACAGTAAAGCTGGTGATTCCTGCTATTCAGTTTAGCTTTACCTAATCATTTTATTATAGCACTTGTTTTGTCACATCAAAAAACTTAAAGATTGCAGAAGGAAAATTTAGTTTATGCCATGAAAAATCACAAGCAATAATAGGAGTCAAGGGGGATTTGGAAAAAGTGTCATGGGAAATTCAGAGGGGTTGGTAATGTTGATTTTTGATTTGGAAGCTAGTTGCACGATTTTTTTTTTCTTTGAGAAAAAGACCATGCAAGCTTCAATCTGAGGGATCACTCCCCTAAATACCTGCAATGCCTACGACTGGGTCAAGTCTGAGGCCTGGAGCTGAGAACACAATCCTGGCCTTACACAAGGTGGCAAGGAACCAATTATCTGAGTCACCACCACTGCCTTCCAGGATCTGTACTGACAGGAAGCTATAGTCAGGAGCCAGAGCTAGGAATGCAGCTCATATACTCCACTGAGACCACGGCTAATGTAACTGCCAGCCTATACACTCATGCTTACACTTTGCAATATTTCTTAGTTACACATTCAAGCACAATTTTCTCTATGTACAAGCATGCTAAACTTAAAACAACTTTTTCAATTCATACTATCAGCTATACTGTAGTAAAAAAAAAAAAAAAAGCTGTTATAATTTATTTTACTTAGTCTTTCCTAGGACAAACAGGTTAAACCCAACAAATGGAACCACATTTAAATGCAGGATTTGAGAAAGATGCTCATTTCCAAGACACTTACCACCTTTTCACTTACTTCTTCCCCTATCTTTGTCACCCATGATCTTCTTCACCTATATACTTCTATATATCATCTTTCAAAACAAAGGGAGATGGCTAATAAAAAGGTTTCCATTTGCAAATGAAATTAAGAAATTATACATGGTTGTTTCACTTCCGTACACCCACCAACCTCAAAATAAACAGTGTACAATAGCAACCACAACTTTAGAAAAGCTTACTTTTCTCAAAGCTTACTTCTCAATCATGGAGCCATGATTGGTGGCAGGCTGGGGGTAAGCCACTGTCCTGTTACACTGGCATTCCATATGCAGGCACTTTCAAATTCTCATTGCTTTAATTTCAATCTAGCAACCTACTAATGTCCCTGGGAAAAGCAGCAGAAGATGGCCCAAGTATCTGGGTCCCATCACCTATGGAGAAGACCAAGAAGGAGTTTCAGTTTCCCTAGCCCAACTACAGCCATTGCAGCCATCTGAGAAATGAACAATCAGACAGAATACTCTCTAATCCTGCTTTTCAAATACATAAAGCAAATCACATATACATATATTCTTCAAAGTGTCTCCTGAGAGTGGGCATTTGCCTAGCAGTTTAGACACTCATACAGGAATTCCTGGGTTGAATTCCAAGCTCCAAATTCTAGCTTCTCACCAATTCAAACCTTGGGAGACACCAGTGATGATCAGAATAACTGGGTTCTTCTTGTCACCTGTAGATCTGGATTTAGTTTCTAGCTCGCAGCCCAACCCCAACTATTGCAGGCAGAATGTAACAGCAGATAAGAGCAATCTGTCTGCCTCTCTCTCCTCATATCCCTCACCTGGTCACTTGCTTAAAAAAAAAATTAGTGTCTCCTCTTTAAGGGGTTATAAAAATTAGGAAACACAATTCATACATACTACAAGAATTGTCTACAAAATGAAGCTAACGTTAGGAAACGGTGATTGTATCTGGTTACATGAAAAGAACCCAAACAGAACAGATTCCCAGGCAATTTCTCTAAGTGACCTGGAGAAGCTGCCATGAGAATACTGAGCACAGGTGGGAGCTGGAGCAATCACTTCACCCAGCTTGTGGGTTGCGAGCACCCAGATCCAGGGAACAGGCTTCCACCTGCCTCGAGTAACTGCTCATAAAGAGGAAACAGGCTGTATGAAGTTGAAAGGACACACAAGCATATTTTCCATCTGTTACGCCCAGAACAAAACAAATGCAAAGCCCTGCTGTTGGCTCCTTAATGGAGCTTCTGCCACTTACATCCTGCTGCCTGAGCACCTGTGTCTCTCTGTCTCTCTGTCTCTCTGTCTCTCTGTCTCTCTCTCTCTCTCCAAAAACCATTTTCCAAAAGGTTTTCCTTGGCTGCTACTTTACTATCTGTACAGAACTCACTTCAGACAAGCTTTCTTCTCTCAAAACTCTGAAATGAGGTTTAGTTATAGCTTTACAGTAAACATACCTTGAGTCAATTCTCAGTAATTTTTATCTTTAACATGGTTTCTCACGGGTCCAGTGCCGTGACATTGTAAACTAAGCCTCTACATGCTGTGCAAGCATCCCTGTGGGTTCATGTCTCTGCTGCTCCATTTCTAATCCAGCTCCCTGCTTGTGGTTCGGGAAAGCAGCAGAGAATGGCTCAGTCCTTGGGCCCCTGCACCCACATGGGAGACATGGAAGAAGCTCCTTATTTCAGACAGGTTCAGCTCCAGTTGTTGCAGCCATTTCAGGAGTGAACCAACAGGTGGGAGATCTCTCTCTGGCACTCCTTCTCTTTGTAAGTCTGCTTTTCAAATAAAAATTCATCTTTTAAAAAAAGATGGTATCTCTTTAGTTCTTACCATACAAAGAAAAGTGCATTCTATTCTAACCTTAGCTAAAAACAAGTTTTGGAGTTTCAATTACTCCTAATACTACATCATGATAATGAATAAAAATATGCAACAGTGAGTGCTTGGTACAGTCAAGTCATGAGCCATCTTTGAATAAATGGCAGGTATTATCCCCTGTCAATTATCTGTAAACAAATGCTGTAAGGTACAATGGCAATGGTAAAAACCAAAAGCTATATAAATCTTTAAGTGACAGTAATCCTGATTCAGATATTTATGAATTTACATTCTGAAGTTGGACCTATAAGTAGCCACTGTCAGATGAGCCACAAACTTCCTCCTCTCTCAAAATCCCACCACCGCCACTACCACACCTACACATATATACAGATGCAGTCTTGGTAATCCCATCGCTACAATACAATGAGGCCTCTGCGCTCCACGCAGCAGCTCAAAAGATACCTGTCCAAGTTCTGTGGAATGTGTCTCTCTTCCTGAACTTTGGAATTAAAATGCACAATGAAGAGGTCAGTTCATGCAAAGAATGAAACCAGTGGCAAATAAAATGTGGAGCTATCATTTTCCCTTCTCTAGAAACAAGCAGAGAAATCTACTAAGAAAATACCATATCCGGGCCCGGCGCAGTGGCGCAAGTGGTTAAGGTCCTCACCTTGCACGCCTGGGATCCCATATGGGTGCCGGTTCTAATCCCGGCAGCCCCGCTTCCCTTCCAGCTCCCTGCCTGTGGCCTGGGAAAGCAGTCGAGGACAGCCCAAAGCTTTGGGACCCTGCACCCGCGTGGGAGACCTGGAAGAGGCTCCTGGCTTCGGACCGGCATAGTATCGGCCGTTGCGCTCACTTGAGGAGTGAATCATCGGACGGAAGATCTTCCTCTCTGTCTCTCCTCTCTGTATATCTACCTTTCCAATAAAAAAATAATAATAAAAATAAATCTTAAAAAAAAAAAGAAAATACCATATCCAATAACTCAAAGCAGAAATAAATGATCCTAAGACTCCCAGGGAGAAAGAGAAAACTTGAAGTACCTTCTGTGAGTACTCACAATTTTCCAATTCCTGAGGCAAGTCTTTTGAAAACCAGATCAAAGTCTGTCTCTTTTTGTCCTCTGAAAGGTCCAGGAATGTGATAATAAACTCTTCTGCTTAAGATCACTAGAAGTAAGTTTCTATTGCTTATAACCTAGAGACAAAAGGCTAACGGAGGTCTATGTTCACCTTTCTCTGTGACAAAGATAGGGATGAGGTGTATAGCAAAGTGTCATAAAGCAAATCCTGACTGAACTATAAGTAACTCCTGACTGAACCACGATCAGAGATCCAAGACTCGCTTAAACCTGTTTCCCTTTCTCTTGCACAATTATCAGCTACCAGAGGTAGATCTATGGCTGTTGGGAAAATAGCTAAAAAGCGTTAGCACTAGCAAAGCGACAGAGGTGGGACATGTCCCTTGCCTCAGATGTCTAGCTTAAGATTAAGGACTCTACATTATTTAAAACAAAACAAAACCTTCAAGTTGAATCTGAAATAGGTGATCCAAGAACCACTAGCAGATAAAAATAATAATAAAGGAATCCTAAGAAGGCAATTAAAGAAGCCCAATTATACTGTTTCTCCAGTAGCCTTTCCTGGACTATTTAAACTTAATTCAGAAGCAAAAATGAAAGGCAACATTGTTTGCTTTAGTGAGTTAGAGAGAAGTAAAATCATGAATAAAACACACTGGTGCAGGCTAGTTTAGGTCCTGTTCCATCACCTACCCAGCTCCATGATAATACACCTGGGAAAGCAGGAGAAGATGATCCAGCAACCATATGGGAGACCTAGACAAAGCATCTCAAACCAGGCCCTGTCCTGGCCCAGCCCCAGCCACTGTGCACATTCAAGAAACGAGTCAATGATTGGAAGATATCTATCATTCCCCATCCCTCTGTAACATTGCCTATCACATAAATTAAATATACAGATATAAAAAATCACCACTGATAGCCTAGCACGGTAGCCTAGCAGCTGAAGTCCTCGCAAGGCATGGGCCAGAATCCAATATAGGCACCAGTTTGTGTCCCAGTGGCCCCTGCTTCACATCCAGCTCCCTGCTTGTGCCTGGGAAAGCAGTCGAAGATGGCCCAAAGCCTTGGGACCCTGCAACTATGTAGGAGACTCAGAAGAGGCTCCTGGCTTTTGGCTTCAAATTGGCACAGCTCCGGCCATTGCGGCCACTTGGGGAATGAATCAGCCGACGGATGGGAGATCTTTCTGTCTCTTCTCCTGTCTGTATATCTGATTTTCCAGTAAAAATAAAATAACTCTTAAAAAAATCTCCAGTGACATTCTTAAATAAATAGGTAATGGAAAAGGTAGATTAGGCACAAAGACAGTCCTAAAGAAAGGTAACACATATAAGCAGTCACAGATTGAGGAGCAGCATTAGCATCCAGAAGAGGCCCCAGTTTCTGCAGCAACAATTTAGAGCAAGAAAAGGAGGACACAGCAGACTCACCACAGGACCCAGAGGGAAGGAGGTCACCCCACCCTCCCTGACAGGCTGAAGCCACAGGGAAGGCTGAAATGGTCTCCACATGTGTCAGGACAGCCAAAGGAGCTGGAATTCTTATAGAATTTTCCTTTGAAAAATTGTTAGATCTTTTTCAGCATATGTTCTATTATACTAAGGGTTACACAGATGTACAAATGGCCAATAACCTACTCATTTGCCAAAACTTAAAAAGGTACCTTTGAGGGTTCAATTTGTTGATGTACTCTATCGACACAGGGTATGGTCACTGAAACACGTTCTCAAAGACTTACCTAGGCTTACGTCACAGCCTAAGATCTCACCTTAGCCAGCAGAACTCCTACGCTAGCCAAAAGGTAATCAAACCAAGTCCCTGGCCCGAAAGGCGGCACACACCTGTACTATGTCCCAGTTCATGTCCACCTCCTCTTTGATACTATTGGCATTTGCTGGGAACTTGACAGGCTGCCCCTGAGGACATGTTTCAGTCTTCATTTTCTTTAAAGGGGACTGGCCAAATGTAAAGTCTTCTTCATTCTCCTCCTTTTTGCAGGTACCTTCCCATACGGTGCTTGTGGATGGGGTCTCTGTCCTGTTAGTAACACCCTCCAAGTCACTGGCTTTGTTGCTTTCTTCAACTTTCAACTTCTTAGTCCTCTGAGCTGAATTCTGCTTCATCTTTGCTGTTTTGAGAGTCCGGGCAGTATCCAATTTATTTTTTCTGTTTTCTAAATTAACATCAGCAATAGCCACAGAAGTATTCTGTGAAACCACAGGGAGAACATAAGAGAATTAGGAAATAAGAACCAATCACCTTGGAATAAGGAACAAGTTAATCATATACACAAAGACTTGGAAGAATCGCCACAAAATTATGCTGTGTTTTATACTCACTTACATACCCTACGTTACATGCATATAATGTTTCAGAACAGTTGAAACCTTGTCAGGAGTCAGACATGACAAGAGGAGGGTAGAAGGGCAATGCATGGCTTTGAGAGGATAGCATGATTAAACTGTTCTACCGGCATCCCACATGGACACTGCTCCACTTCTGATCCCACTCCACCTAATGCGCCTGCAAGAGCAGTGGAAGACAACCTAAGCACCTGGGCCCTGCACCCTTGTGGTAGATCAGACAGGATTCTAAGCTCCTGGCTTCATCCCGACCAAGCCCCAGCCTTTGTAACCACTTGGGGTTACAAAGCTGCAGGTGGAAGAGCTCTCTCTCTTCCACACTTTCTTCTACCCTTTCTCCATCTTTGCCTTTCAAAAATAATAAACATTATAAGGAAAGAAAATTCAACTGTCATTAGCAGAAATACAGTGGCTAAACCACAGTGAGCATTTTCAATCCAAATGAGTGAATGACTGAATTTCATGATTCCATACTCATCAAATTCCTGATTACTAAGTAATCACTACTTAGTTCAGCCTACAAGGAGAAAAACTGCTAGCTACAAAAAATTTCAAAGTTCTTGTGATAATTACTTCACAGCATTAATTTTTGAAGGAGTACTCTGATAGCAGACATCATTCTTGTGAGATTACAGATACAAAAACACCCATGAGAAATATATTGGTTCCTGAAATGCTGACAAAATCTCATTCTTGTCTTAAAAACTCAGTTCTATTATTTATTATCTGTGTACCATGAACAAGTCATCATATTTTGTCTAGAAACCTCATCTAAAAGAATAACAGCAATTACTCAATAGTCTTTGGAAGGATTAAGGAAGATAATGCAAGTGAAAAGTTGATCATGTTGCCTAACAATAAGCACTCAGAACAGTTGCAAATACTCACATCATTACCACTACTGCCAGACACGAACTACTTCCTAGGAAAAATGTGAAGCAGACAAAACACAGTGGATGGGACTGTAAATAGTATACCCACTGCAGGGTATACCACCATCTGGCATGTTCTGCTGTTTATGTAGCTGTCCTACTTTAAGTTCTTCCTAACAGTAAAAACCTGACTGGATGCCTTCTTGGCAAAGGAGAAGCATAATTCTAGGACACAGCATCAGTGAAGCCACTGATGAAGCCATTCTCAAAGCGAGTTCCCTTCGGAAGTAGAAGCCCCAGAGTAAGCAAACAATAAGCAGAAAATTGTTAGAACAACCTACACAAAGGCAGAAAACACCAATGTCAACAGTCAAGATGGTCCAGCATTCCCCTTTATACAACTACACCTACCAGCTCCTCCTTGACAGCCACATCTTTGGATGTGTTCTTCTTTGCCCGAGGCACTCTCTTTGGTTTGGGTTCTTTGGGTTCCTTGGGTTCTTTGGGTTCCTTGGGTTTCTTGGGTTCCTTGGGTTTCTTGGGTTCCTTAGAAATGGGCTTTTTACAGATCCTGCGGACTTTCTTTTGGGGATCCCAGATGCTATCTTCCTTGTCATCTTCAGAGTCTGACAATCTAGGTATAAATTAACAGAAGAATTTCAGTAAAAATGAACCAAATGTCTTCAATAGAAGAAAGATATGTGCTTTTTGGAAAATGGTAAGGTAGGAGATGTCCACATAAAACAGAATGCTAAGTGCATGACTAAGAACAGTAGTTGGTAAAAATTGAAACAATAAAGATCACTATACACTGTACATCATAAGACTGAATTCTCTTCTCAGTTAATCTACACACACATGTGCATACTTTCAAGACATGGGAAATAATTTATTATCTTAAGTAATTTACCAAGTCATGTCATATCACAGTAAGTGTTAGCTTAAGACATTCAAAATTAACAGTGAAGAGTGCCTAAATTTGTTCCTAAATGATAATCAATGTATTTAATGCATTAAGTTAGCCAAATCTATGAATGAAGAAGGAAACTTCTCTAGGAAAGACTCTAAATTATACAAGTCAGTACCAAAATCCTTCCAACTGCTGTTATTAGCCTCTTTCTTTTACAGACTGGACTGCATTCTTGATTAAACTAAATCAGGTGCAGCTATAGCATTTTCCCACCAATCAAGGATTGGATTGGCAGAAACAGCAGAGACCTGTGAAGGAAGTATCACACCATTGCCAATGTGATTGATCCTATTTCTACCCTAATGTAGTTAAGTCAATATTGGTGGGAAGGAAGACCATTTCTTTCACAGAAAACTAATGAATGAATATCTGGGGTTTGGTGTTTTAAGTTCCGCCTGCAGGCAAAAACATGACTGAATAACTTTTGGCTAAGTTGTGGGAGAGCAGAATTTCAACAGGTCAAACCACTGATATTCTCCAAGTGAGCACTACTGAGAGGTGGATGCTAAGCCCAAGAACAAGCAAAAAACAAAGAGAAAAATCACAAGATGATCTAACACAACAGTACTGAAATCAAAAGGATCTAGATGTGGCCTAGAAAAGCAGTGGAGGATGGCCCAAAGCCTCGGGACCCTGCACCCACATGTGAGACTCAGAAGAAGCTTCTGGCTTTGGTCCCACTCAGCTTCTGTCATTTTGGCTATTTGGGGAATGAACCAGGGCATGGAAGGTCTTTCTGTCCTTTTCTGTAAATCTCATCTTCTTTCTCATAAAAATAAATAAACCAGAAAAAAAAAAGGATCTAGGGAAATCAAGGTCCCATCTATACTCACCTAGAAAAACAATGTCCAGACTAACCTTATTTACTACTTTGTCAAGATGGAGTTGTTTTTTGTTATGAGGAAAACACAAGCACAGGTATCATGAGGTGCTCTGGCAGTCGGTCAACTCTATTCCCAATCTTACACCAGTTTCTGGCAACATCTGGTGCTCACCCTTTAGAGTATGTCCTTTACCAGCTTTCCTTGTTTTCCTTCTACTTCCTGCAGCTTCTCCTTAGTTCCTTTGGTCCCTTCCCCCTCTCCTCAACCTTCCATTGTGGGAATTCCCAAGGCTTAGTCCTCAGCCCTCTCCTCTCTATGCTCTCTTGCCAGCTCACTTTTCTTCTCCTATGGCTCAGTAAAAGAATCAGTTTTACATTTTTTATATTCAGGACTTCGCATATCCACTTTGTCTGGCAATCACCTTGACTTTACCAAGTTCAAACTAGAGCTCGTGATTGCATCACACTTACACTCCTTCCTCTTCCAACCTTCCCAAAGTGCCAATTTCCTTTATACCCTAAATCCAACCCAGCTGCTCAACCCATCAAAATATACTACCTTCAAAATATGCCCCAGATTAAACCATTTCTCAACATTTTCACCACTAGGATTCTAAAATAGCCTTCTGAATTCATTCTTCCTGCCTCCATTCTTATTCTGTAGCATCAACAAAAAACTAACGTAAATCAGATGATGTCACATCCATGCCTACTATACTCCAGTGGTTCCTACTTCACATAAAATCTTAACACTCTGAAACAGCCTATTAGATCTTCCCCAATCCAGTCTCATTTCCTATCACTCTCTGCATTAATGACCCAGGACTGGCCACACTACTCTTGTTGATGTCCCAAGAACATATCAAATTCATTCCTGCCTCAGGGTCTTTTCACCTGCAGCTTTGTCTACTTACAATACCATCTTTATAAGTTACACTCCCAAATTCCATCTACATTGCTTGTCAAATCTCCAAGAAAAATTCATGACTACTCTATATAAGATGTCCCCAGCCGAAATCAACTATTGTGCTCTCCATTCCTTACCCTGCTTTATTGTCCTCCAGTATTAAGCAGCCACTCACTCACAAATAACTTCAGAGCACAGCAATTCAGAACAGGGAACAACTTCATACCTCCCTCCCCCAGTGTCTAGGTAAACAGAAATGGGTTGGGGGGAAGGAAAGTAGAGGGAGGCTTACGGCTGGTATCTAATGGGTAAGGGCAAAGATGTTGCCAAATGAATTACAAGCACAGGACAGCCCTCAGAATAAAGAATTATCCTGCACACAACAACAATAGCGCACAGGTTAAGAAATCCTAATTAAAAGCAATATTAAAAACTTCCTGCTCAAAAAAAAAAAACTCCCTGCTCTTATGCAGCTGATAATCTGTAAATCTTACATTACACATGTATTGGATTGCTTTCTCTTTATTCAACACTCTATCACTAACATTAGATAGGACCTGGGACACAGTATGAGTTCAACAAATATTCAATGCCCGAATGAATAAAAAAAAAGATCCATTACATTTAAACGACAAACACATTACTCCTTAAAATACTCATCCTTTTCCTACAGTCATATTAAATCAGTATGCTTACAACTCAGAGGAGGAAGAAAATTCATGTTTGAATGTCACGGTCTGGGCCTGCATTTTTGCTCTTCTTGGCAATGATGACATCTGAAAGAAATGGAACATGAAATCAACATGGCTTATATAGTCTCAGCACTTTATCTGGCTACTCAAAACTAACATTGCAGGGGTGGGCACCGCGCCACAACAGGTTAAGCTCCAACTGGCAAGCCCGTATCATCGCAGGACCTACACTACCAATCAGCTTCTGCTGAAGCACCCTGAAAGGCAGCAGCTGATGGCTCAAGTGTGTCAGCCCCTGCCACGCACACAGGAGACTGAACAGAGTTCAGGGATCCTGCCTTTGGCCAAACTCAGCCCTGGCTGTTGCAAGCCTCTGGACAGCAAAACAACAGACCAAAGATCTCCTTATGTCTATCTCTGTGTATGCTCTGCCTTTCAAGCAAATGAAAATAAACATTTAGAGGATGGGAGGGGAAATCTCTCAGCCTATGGAACTGTATTATGAAAAATAAAAATTATATTAATTAAATAAATTAAAAGGAAAGAAACATTTAAAAATAGCAGCAGCAAAACAAAAACAAACACTCCAACAGCTCTACTGCTAGTAAATGCTATTAAAAGGAGAAGGACTGGAGGTCGATAGACAAATCTTCCAATGGCTTCAACAGCCCTATGGGTGTGGACTACCTCTTAAAATGATAGGTTCCCACAGTATGACAACTGTTGACTTTCCAGAACTATATGCTACAGTATTCTTCAAACATCACCTGACAGTGGTACTATTAGATAGTAAATTATAAAGTCCTTTATTAAACCATATCCCAAAAGAAGTATCTTATCCCTTCTGTATCTTCTTACAATATAGACACCATGATGCAAAGCTGGGAAATCATGATAAATAACTGAGTTAGAGTCAGGCTACTCCTAAAGTAACAGAAACATTCCCTTATAATAGTTAAATATTAAACATATATCGTATTTAATGACCTGGTGTGGTAGCCTATTGGCGAAGTACTCACTGCATACACCAGGATCCCATATGGGCACCAGTTCATGCCCCAACTGTTCACTTTCCATCCAGCTCCCAGCTTGTGGCCTGGGAAAGCAGTGGAGGATAGCCCAAAGCCTTGACATCCTGCACCCGTGTGGGAGACCCAGAAGAAGCTCCTGGCTCCTGGCTTCTGATCAGCTCAGCTCCCACTGTTGGGGCCATATGGAGAATGAACCAGCAGATAAAAATTCTTGTCTCTCCTTCTCTGTAAATCTTCCTTTGCAATAAAAATAAATAAATCTTAAAAAAAAAAAAAAACAGCCTGACACACACTATTGAGAAAAATTATGATTGTGTGTGTTTAAGTAAACTGATTAATCACCTAGCAACTGAAAATATTCACCAATTCAAAGGCTCAGATCTAAAACAATTTAGATAAAAAGCAACAGGAAGTAAAGGAATTTACTTTAGGTGGTAAGATTAATTACCTAAAAAATATGTGAAAAGTCATAAAAACCACATTAAACTCTGACATGCTTAGAACCCAAATTCCCAGGCCAGTTGGATACTAGCATTACTCTGGTTTTAGCACTCACTTCTAGCAGGAGGTAGAGTCTGGTGGAGAAACACAGACAAGGTTGTCACCAAACCAAGCCTGCTCTTCCAGCAGACCAGCTAGCTGCATCAAGAAAAGCAAACCTGGGCAGGCGAGCACTTGCTCAGAAGATGGAAGGGAAAGCAAGCTGCAGGGGCTGGCGCAATAGCCTAGTGGTTAAATCCTTGCCTTGCATACACCAGAGAATCCCATATGGTCGCCAGTACATGTCCCGGCTGCCCCACTTCACTTCCAGCTGGGAAAGCAGCAGAACATGGCCCAAAGCCTTGGAACCCTGCACTCATGTGGGAGACCCAGAGGAAGTTCCTGTCTCCTGGCTTTGGATGGGCTCAGCTCTGGCTGTTGCTGCCACTTGGGGAGTGAACCAGAGGTTGGAAGATGTTTCTTTCTCCATCTCCTTTTATTTGTGTATCTGCCTTTCCAATAAAAAAATAAATCTGTAAAAATAAATAAAATACATAAAGACCAGATACAGAGGGCCAGTGTTGTGGCATAGTGGGTAACAGTTGTACCAACTACACCAACTGATTTAAGACCCAACTGCTTCACTTCTGACCCGGCTCCCTGCTAATGAGCCTGAGGAAAAAAACAGAAAATGGCCCAAGTATTCAGGCCCTTGGAAGCTACAAGTTACTGGCTTTAGTCTGGATGAGCCTTGGTCATTTCAGTCATTTAGGAAATGAGTCAAGAGACGGAAGAACTGTATCTGTGAGTGTGTGTGTGTGGGTGTGTATTTATTTCTCTGCAACTCTGCCTTTCGAATAAATCTTTTGAAAAGTATATACAGAAACTGGCAATAGGAATTATTAATTTGTTTTTTTTTATTGGAAAGGCAGATTCACAGAGAGACGGGGAAACAAAAAGAAAGATCTTCCAGCCTCTGGTTCATTTCCCAAAGGACTACAGTGGCCAGAGCAAAGCCAAATCGAAGCCAGGACCCAGGAGCTTCTTCTGAGTCTGCCACATGGGTGCAGGATCCCAAGGCTTTGGGTCATCTCCTACTGTTTCCCCAGGCTAAAAGCAGGGAGCTGGATGGGAACTGGAATAACTAAGACACGAATCAGCGCCCATAAGGGATCCTGGTATATTTAAGGGAAGGATTTAACTACTGAGCTTTTGTGCCAGGCCCAATCCTAGAACTTCTTAGGAGAGGATTTGCCAGTAGTTGAGCCATTGAGCTGGTCCCGGAATTATTTCTTTAAGACAATGGCAAACACACACCCAGGAGTATAACAACTAATGTAAAGGTCAATGCTGCTTTCCTGTAGCCATTCCTCCCACAGCTTCCTACTCCACATCATAAAACTTGCTAGATTAACTAAAATTTTATCCGTTTCCATCCTGCCTTTAGATTCAGCTTTACCTAACAAACTGCCTCTGAAACTATTCAGATGCCTCATAGCTACCTAAAATATAACATATCCACAATGGAATTTCCAGTAACCACTTCTTGTCACAGAATCCATCCTTAATCCAGTCTTTCCCTTCTCACTGAACAGCACCACCAACCGCTTATTTGCTAAGACAGAACCTTGAAAATTCTCTTAACAGCTTCATTAAGGTGTAAATGACAGGTGATAGTACTGTATGTGTTTAAAGCCTACAAATTGGATAAGTTCTGACACACACACACAAACACACCACAATGAACATAATGAGCACATCCATCATCCTCAAAAGAGCCATTCGCTAAGTTACAACATTGCAAATCCAGTTTGTTTTCATCTCCCACGACCATTCCATTAGTAAGTCACATAAATTCTTTCTTCAAAATGTCTTACATCTCCACAATCTCCAATGGATCATTAGCATCTGTCTAAACACATTTTCCTTTTGCTATAACAGAATACCACAGAGTGAGGAATATATAAAGAAATTCATTTCATACAGCTCTGGATGGCTGGGAAGCCCAAGTGGCCAGATCCCCTGAAATCCTTCTTGCCAAACATTGTACGCCAAGAGAAAGGGTTCGTGGAGTTCAGGTCTCTCCCTCAACCTACAAAGGCACTAACTCCAACCTGGGGCCCCACCCCATGATCTCACCAAACTCTAAGCACCTTCCAAATGCCTCATCTCCACAACCAACACAGGAATTCAGGGATTAAGTTTCTAGGGCATGAACTTCGGGCAGGGAACACAGTAATTGCACAGCAGCCCCCATCTCTCACCTGGATGAGGCAACAGACTCTTCACTGCCCCCACCTTCTTCCTCTCACCCTCACAACCCATCCTCCATTTATCAATCCACAAGATCATTTAGAAAATGCTTTAAAGAGCACCCAGTCACTTCCCACACCATCCTTCACTTAGAATCAAACCACGTCTTAGCTCAGCCTTCAAAACTGCCCTACAGGACTAATGCTTGCCACTCCAACCACACTCACCATTTGCTACAACTCCTTTGTTCTACTAAGATCCTGTAACAAACAAAATTCTTTCCCACCTCAGGTTCACACTCCCTGGAGCACTCTCCCTCCTGATCATCAGTTAGCTGGCTTACTGTTCAGAACTCAACATTCTTCAACATAAAATGGGCTTCTCCGTTACACTTGAAAAACAATCTATTTACTATACCCGATAATACAGCACAAGAATTAAGCTGCCACTAAGGGTAACAACATTCCGTATCAGAGCGCTGATTCAAGCCCTGGCTGCACCACCTCAGACCCAACGTCCTGCTACTGCAGCTGAGAAAGCAATGTCAGACAGCTCAAGCTCTCGCTCCTGCCATGCAGGGTGGAGAAGCCAATGGAGTTCCCAGTCCTTGGCTTCCGCCAGGGACGGATATTACTGATGTGGCCATTTGCAAAGGGAACCTCTAGATGGAAGACAATTCTGTCTCTCCTTCCATCACTCAAAATAATATTAACTAACAATATGTATGAATTATGCCTTTTCAAATGTTGTGCCTTATTAAAAGTGTTTTGTTAGGAGCCAATTTTATATTTTGGAAAAATAACAGTATTTTAGTATTGATTGCCAAGCATTTACTTTTAAAAATTTTAAATCCTTGCAATGTTTGTATTTACCTGATTACTTATTATATCATTGTGTATGTTTATTGCATTTATTCAATACATGAATTTGTGCATTTAGCATGTAAAAAAAATCAGTAAAAAAATTTTTAAAAGTCCAACTTCCATTATACAGTGGTACATAACATAAGCTATTATTATATTGACTGATTTACTGTGCGTACCCCCCTTTGGGTGATAAACACCATGAAAACAGGAAATACTTATTCATTATCCCATCACACAGAGCTTGGAACTTGATAGCTGCGCTATAACCAGACAAATATAAGAATTACACAAACACAGCCGCTAAAGAGAAAAGCACACTCAATTTCCACCATTCCTAGGCAATGCTTTCTGGAACAAGAGGCAGGTAGTTTTTGATACTGGGATTTTCCCTCCTCCCAAGATATCATTATTCATGCATACATGAAAATCCTAAATCAATCATTTAGCGATTGCCATGAGATTATTCACAGACAAACTACAGCAAGTGAACTATGGGGGCCAGGATGAGAGGAACTGCACTGACAAATAATGAAGTTGAACAATAATCTAAAAACTCAAGGATAGCAAAGGGAACAATTCCCTTAGAGACACCTAAAGAAATCTCTCCCATGAAGCACCCACAAAGGACTTGGAATGTGAGCAGGAATGGGTACCAAAGGCATCCGAACCAAACACCCAAAAGCTGGAGCCTCGGAGAGTCCCGCCGTTACCTTTTCTATGAATGAGAAGAGCCTGAGCTCAAACGAAGTGGAATGATCCACAGAAACAGGCACCACACAGCACCAGACCTAACACCAAGACGGGCTGTTTCCCATTCCACACCTGTCGCATTAACGACACGTCGCGGGGGAGGTGGGAGGAAAAGCTGCAGTTCACTGCTTTCCTCTAGGCACGCTGCTAGAAACGCGTTGGACGGGGAAAGGGGTGCTATCCTGCCCGATTCCGGATCTGGAATAACAACCCTAGGTTTCCCCCTGAGCGCTAAGAGCTGCCACAGTTTGACAATGCGGCTGCCAGGAGGCAGTGAGGAATGTTCCCTGGGTGTGGGCTGAGATACGAGCACGGACAGGTGACACTAAGCATGACACTTCGGGGTGTGCTTCTCCCCAAACGCACGCTCCGACTGTGGTAAAGCGGCCGCGGAAACACCGGAGCCCGCAGGACGGTCGCCGAGACGGACACGCAAGCTCACCTTCCCGCCTGACGTCTCGGTGGACCGGGAGCCCGGGGAATCACGGAACCTTCCGGGTCCCGCCGGAAGTTTTTCAAACCCCGGAAGTCCCGCCTAGCGCTCCCGAGGAGTAGCCAAGATGGGCGAGGGCGGAGCCAAGATGGACGCGCGCTGAGTGGATGGGTGTCGGGAAGGGAACGCGGGTGCCAAGCCCTTCCCCTGGGTTGGTCACGGGCGGAGCTCTCTCCCCGGCTCCGGGAGGAGTTGGAGCTGGGGATTTGGAATCGTGAGTCCTTCCCATTTTTCTTTCAGTTCAGGATGTTTCTTTTCATGGAGTTAGTTATTGTGAAGTAGGGTGTTTCTGGCGTGTTTTATTTCCTAATGCCTGGTTTAAGGGTTTCGCGCCAGTCTTGTGGTGATGTCCAAATCTTGCCCGCTGCACCCTCCTTCAGCCCCTCGATGGGCTCTGTCTTAAGAGGAGACTTCAGCCATCATCAACGCCTCAGTTTGGTCTCTCAGGCTGCTTGGTCACCCATTCGAAAAATCTGGTTCTCTCAGGAACTTCCTAGTCTTGGGCCGATCGCTCTACATGTGTGAGCTGTTTCTGTTTCTCCCTCAATCCCACCACCACTTTCCTATTAAGATACCCGGCACATGTCAGGGATCAATACTGAATCTACTTGAGGCAATGACAAGTCCTGTAACTGAGAGTGTAGGATTTAGACAAATGGAGATGAGTCAAGCACACACACACACACACACGCTGGAAGATGAATAGAAAATCTGAACTCTGTTGAACGTGGTTTTTCATAGAATATTGCAGAAAGGGGCATCCCCCATACTCTGAGAGGATGGACTGCTACAAGCAAGGAGCAATTAAAAGCTGTGAGAAATCAGTTTGAGTAAGATCTTTACCAACTAAGCTGAAGTTTCCTCGTTATAGTACTAAATTCACCTAAAGAAGGGGATTGCCACCATTTTCTAAATACACAAAGTATAAAGAAGCATGAAGTTTTTTGTCACATTTCATGAGCAGGAGAGACCGTCTCCCTCTTCTGCTCTACTGTGGACCCTCTAGCCCTCACTGTGAAAGCTCTGACCAACTGCATCTCAGAGAGGCAGTTTCCTCAGAGAACTGTACCTTCCTACTCTCTCCTGTTCTCACAAGTAAATAACGGCTTTCTCAGAGCAACTGCCACTTGAGGCTGAAAATGTGGCGAGACCTCATGCCAACAAGACCCCCAGATGTCCACTTTATAGTCCCAGTAGCCTGTCCTTTTTGAGCAAGAATGGGAAAACTATCCCATTTTATTGCCAGATTCTTGGGAAGTTCTATGACTTCATTTCCTTGTAGGCTAGTATCCTAAGTGGACCTTTCTGCAGGTCCAGGATTTCCATTCCCCTTCTCACAAAGCACAAGGTAGCTCTGCTTTTTATTTTAATCAGGCCTGACCCTGACCTGAGCCCCACTTCATTCCCAGAGATCCACTTCACCTTTTTGTTTTGCTTTGTTTTTAACCGAACATGAAATTATACAGAGGACCAGTGTTGTAGTATAACAGGTTAAAATGTTCACTGGGATGTCTGCATCTCGTATCAGACTGCTAATTAGAGTACTGGCTGCTCAGCACTATGTCCCAGCTTCTTGCTAATAGCCCTGGGGGCGGCACATGGGGATCCATGTAGTTGGGTTCCTTCTCCTCACATGGAAATCAGATGAGGTGCTTGGCTCCTGGTTTGGGTCTGGCCCAGCACTGCCTGTGATGAGTATTTAGGAAGTAAACCAAAGGATGGGATATAGCTTTCCTCCACATCGTACTTCCTCTACTCACACCCCATCACCCCTCTCATTCTCAACCTCTTTCCTTCTGTCTGTGTCATTCTACCTTTTAAATAAATAAATAATTTTTTTTTTAGATTTTATTTTTATTGGAAAGTCAGATATACAGAGAGGAGGGGAGACAGAAAAAGATCTTCCATTGGTTGATTCACTCCCCAAGAAGCAACCACGGCTGGAGCCAAGCCAGTCCGAAGTCAGAAGCCCGGAGCCTCTTCTGGATCTCCCACGCAGGTGCGAGGTCCCAAGGCTTTGGGCCGCCCTCAACTGCTTTCCCAGGCCACAAGCAGGGAGCTGGATGGAAGCGGGGCTGCCGGGAATTAGAACCGGTGCCCAAATGGAATCCCAGCACATGTGTGAGACAAGGACTTTTTTTTTTTTAAGATTTATTCATTTTTATTACAAAGTCAGATATACAGAGAGGAGGAGAGACAGAAAGGAAGATCCTCTGTCCGATGATTCACTCCCCAAGTGAGCCACAACGGCCGGTGCTATGCCAATCCGAAGCTAAGAACCAGGAACCTCTTCCGGGTCTCCCACGCGGGTGCAGGGTCCCAAAGCTTTGGGCCGTCCTTGACTGCTTTCCCAGGCCACAAGCAGGGAGCTGGATGGGAAGTGGGGCCACCGGGACTAGAATCGGCTCTTATATGGGATCCCGGGGCGTTCAAGGCAAGGACTTTAACCTCTAGGCCACGCTGCCGGGCCCGTGAGACAAGGACTTTGGCCGCTAGGCTACCATGCCAGACCCATAAATAATTTTAAAAACTAGTAAAAAGTCTTCCCAACAATTATTTACTATTTACTCAAAATCAGTTCTCCGTAGAAATGAAAAATGGCTCTTTTTGTATTGTATGTTTTACCATGCATACTACACTTTAAGCTTACAAAAACAACCAGTGACATTAGATTGAGTAATTGGGAAGGGGGAGGACTGTTAGTCTAGGTTAGACCTTCAGACACCAAACCCCCAGTGCATGGAATGCTCAGTGGTAGAATTCTCACCTGCCAGATATCAAACCCCCGATGCTGATGACTCATTTCCAAAGACTCAGAACTGAAGAGCCCATGAGATGCTGAAATGACCTGGGAAAGGGCATTGATCGTTGGTCACTCCAAAGATTGTTCAGAGATTTTTTTTTTCCTTTCCTAATTTGCCAAGTGTTGCCTTGTGCAAAGGTTCCAGAAGGTGTAAGACTATCTGCTACACTCACAATCTGCTCTATGATTTATAATCCTAAATGAATAATAGAGAACACATTATAGTCCAAGATTAGAAGAGTAGAAGGATTATGAAAGTCAGCAAAGATAATTTATTACTTACTATTCACCAACATTTAACATTTCAGCAGATAAATGTAAGGTGAAGGTTGTAAGGATCAGGGTGGATTTCAGCAAAATGTTTTGACATATTCCTATCCTAAAGGAATTTATAAATGTGACTGAAGTAATCTAGATACAATCATAGAAAATAGACCCGGGCCCGGCAGTGTGGCCTAGCAGCTAAAGTTCTCGCCTTGAACGCACCCCAGGATCCCATGTGGGTGCCAGTTCTAATCCCGGCAGCCCCACTTCCCATCCAGCTCCCTGCTTGTGGCCTGAGAAAGCAGTCGAGGGCAGCTCAAAGCTTTGGGACCCTGCACCTGCGTGGGATACCCGGAAGAGGTTCCTGGTTCCCAGCTTCGGATAGGTGCAGTACCAGCTGTTGCGCTCACTTGGGGAGTGAATCATCGGATGGAAGATCTTCCTCTCTGTCTCTCCTCCTCTCTGTATATCTGACTTTGTAACAAATAAATAAATAAATCTTTTTTTAAAAAAAAAAAAAAAGAAGATAGACCCAAACAAGACTAGATTCAAGAATTGAGTTATGCAGGTAGAAACCACACTACACAATGAGAGGGAAAATAGGAGGTGCCAGCATAGTTGGCCCCTTGAGTCTCCTCTCTCCCAGCAGGAATATTTATCTTTCACCAGAGCAAGAAACAGGATTTTTGAGCTAAAATAAATAACCTAGTGAGATTTTTATACATCAGACATCTGAAATAAAATAAAATCTGGGACAGGGTTCTCTAAAATTAAATTATGTAGGTGATGGCCTACCCCAAATGCAAGTTAAGACTGTACAAAGAGCCACTCCCACTGCAAGCTGTCAAGGGAAGTTTGTAACCACGTCAGTATGAAGCAAGCTCCACTATTGTAACTGCCTCTTCTATGTCAGACCTTCCTCAATCTGTTTACTTTTGGATCTCCAGTACTGAATTGTAAGAACTCCATGGGTGTAGACTCACAGCCTGGAGTAATCTGGATGCCCACCCAAGACTATACAATAGTTTGGGAGCAATAAAAAAAAGCATTTTGGATTCACTTAGAGGTTATTTATCACTCCACAACATATATCTCTTCTCATGATATTAACTGTTATGTTATCATTTGTATGTTTCTGTCCTTGGTCTTGCCTGTGTGTAGTGGGTACCAGGTTTGTGTACCCTGGAAGGTGAGGGGACGGCAGGCAGGGGTGGGGTAGGGTGTAGGTCAGGCAACCCAGGATGCCAATGGCATGAGGAGAAGCTCACTGGCCTCCTGGTAGCATGCTTCTGGAGACACTGTGTGGGCTTGCAGGGGTCTGAGGATGGCACAGATGGGGGTGTGCGGAGGCATGGGGTCTCACGTCCAGGATTGGTGGTCTGATCGTGGAGTTCATGTGTCAGAACTAGGACTCCTCAGTGGAAAAGATGGAGCAGTGGATGGCTGAGCCAGTAGCACATGGAGGATTGGCAGCCCACCGAGGCCAACAGAGGGCATCTGGTACCATAACAGAGAAAACAGGACAGAACAAATTAGACAACTAACCCAGCCAGATGTTGACAGCAAACATATGGGTGAATGGAGACTCTAACGTTAACTATGTCAGCCAAAGGACATTGGAAGGAATTCCTCATCCTTGGATCAGTGACATCAACATGTCATAACTATCAAAACCACGTGGGCAGAACCCTTGAAGCATGTGCCACATTGAGGACCCTAGGTTGATATCAGGTAGCCATTCATACTGGGGCATTTGAGAAGCTGCGTATGGCTTCTCCCCTTCTCTCTCCTCTTCCCCCATTTATAGGAAGACGAAATAAAAAATTTGAAAACGATGATCACACCCAGTTTCCCTAACCCTTGATCCTTCCCACCCTGAGCAACTATGTAAACATCAAAAATAAAAAAATTTCTCTATATATGTATGTGTGTGTGTGTGT